TCTATAATATTAGACTTATTAGACTTCAATTTCGATAAATTGTTTGTATTTGAAATAATACTACTGGTTATAGTTTCAAATAATACGCTGGGGACGAATATTGACTCTTTGACTAATGCGTCATGGAATTTTATAGCGGCTGTATAAGAAATAAACGAATTAAAAAGCCGAGCAAACGAGAATGAACAAGTAGGCCAGCTGACCAGACTGTAGTGAGTTGCTGTACTGCCTGCCGATACACGCTCGTTAAAGACGTTTACAGTATAATGGAGTGTTTATCGTGTGTAGCTATAGATACATTGCAAAATCATGAATTGATAATTTGGAAAACACAATGTAACATGTGAACATTAATTACCGACGACACGGACGGTGCATGAAAATATAGGTAACGAGAATTACTTACTTGAGACGGCATTGTGATAAGAGTAGTGATGTTCACCAGCCATAATCCAGCGTCAATTAATGTTTCCAGTAATAAGCTCAATACCTTTCAGTGATTTTCAGCTAAACAAATTAACCTAAAGTCTTGTACAGAATCGACTTCTTATTAATAATAGGGATAGAAAACAACAGACTATTCTACGTAAGGCCAAGAAAACCTCACATAGGCAATTTTCTAGGCGAGTGGGTTAGCCTTTGAAAATACAGGTACTTTGATTAGAATGATAGTAATTATGATAATGACAAAGAAAATAAACCGTGCGCACAAAGTACTAATGGTATAACCTGTTTCGAATGCTTCTTGTCCATATAAAACGCTCAATTCTCTTCATTTGAGGACATGGGAGAATATTCGGAATGTACCATTACAGAAGAGGGTATATGTTGTTACATCCGTGGATATTAAATATGTAATTAATTCGCAAGCCCCGATTGGATACCGAGTATATTAGCAATAATCCCCACAATGTTTACAGTGCATTTCAAAGTCATAACTATCGAGCGATCCATATGTTTACACGCGTGGTTTAAGCAAGTGTATAACAGATGGGCACGCAAAATTACGAAGCACACACAATATTATTACAAAGCAAGCACACGAAATAACTACTGTATATATTAATCGCATATCTACAATTCAGTACTCATTCATGCTTCGCAAGCCCTTAGAAAATGATTATACTTTTCTTTCAACAAATAGGCCTAATCAATATTCTTAAATGATGGTTTATATTCGAAGCAGAACCACTGTGTTGGGGCGAACATACGAGTGCGCACTACCGGTAATATGAATGATCCCGAATCGAATTTCACCTCGCCCTATTTTTAGGCCTATTCCTACGGCTGAATTTCTGGAGTTTCTGCGATTTGAATGTTGTTGATTTTTTCTTACTTGCGAACTTTAAAGCTCGAAAACTCTGTATCGATTTTGTACGAGATTCCGAATACATTTCCACACATAGCATTTGGAGATTTGTAGTTGTATTTTCTATTTCCTTTAGCGCTGTGACTCTCCAAATATATCGAATACGATGAGTATTTGAAGAAGATGTTTCTAAAGAATGATCTCTCTTACGACAATGTTCTGCTTGTATAGTGATGATTCATTCTCTGTGAATTACTTCAACACAGCAGCATAGAAACTGGGTATTATTTTAATAATAAAGAAACCATACAAATGAGAAGATACAAGAGGGAATATCACATAGTTGATAATCGGAACCAAAATGGGAGCAAAATGGCTGTCGACGCCATCTTTGAATGAATGTATTTTCTCCAACGTACAATTAAGAATACTTTTCTTGACAGAAGAAAATATGAGCAACTACATTATGTCTCCTCGATTTTTTTTCTTCAAAAAAGTATAACAACCTTACTTCAATCATGGAAGAATAAGTTTAGATGGAATTAGTTTTCTAAACTTATTCCTCCATGCTTCAAATCAATTGAGTAGCACAACATTTTTCTCGGCCATTGTTCTTAAATTGTCTATTCGTTTTTTTGGGGTTTTTTTATCCTTGTGTGGGTCTACATTAGGAAAAGCGTAATTTTTGTTATACATGGGTCGAAATTCACTTTACATAACAATATCGACTTAGTTATTTTAACCCCTTCAATTAATTCCTGTTGTATCCACCCACCAAAGCTATAAATATACAACGGAAAATGTTGAAGCTGCCGCCGCGACTCTTAGTCTACAATAGAATTCGATAAGTAAGGAGTGTGTATAAAAAAAAAACATTTCCGTTCTAATAGCGTTGAATTCTTGACATATTGGATAGAACATAGTTAAATTTTAAAGATTTTTATTTACTATCAAGATTAACCTGAAGTGAATAAAGAGATCAATGTTTTCTATCACTGAATACGAATACGAATAAAATTTATTTTCGATCATATAAAATACAAAGGAAAAGCATCTTCAGTTGACAAAATCAAAAAGTACAAATAGAATTTAAAAAGCATTATATATAAAAAAATTATATAGAAAAGGTACGGACATCATAACGTCAAAAAAAAAATTATTATATAGAATTAATAGATAGACCAATTGTCATCTGTGGGAAAATGAATTAAAAAAATGTATACTATCATGAATAAAAGACTTGCGAAATCGCATAGTCTTATTACGGTAAGTGTTTAGCCTAAGTCCAGATCTATTATACGAGTATAGTTGAGAAAGATAGTGAGTTTCATCTTTCAATATATGTTCAGCAGCAGAGAGTACTCTCTGAAACAAGTGTATGAAACTTGTTCATTGGTAAGTACGTTCGATACAATCTTTACATTATTTTTTTACTACGACCGAGCAAGAGAAATTCCAATGACGATCTCCCAATACGATCTTTGCACCATTGTAAGATGAACTATAAGGTGGAAAAAATTGGATTACTGGAATTTAAGGTTATTAGGTTTGGGAACAAATATAAATACAAACTAGACTTACTATGTTTGTTTGTTTTCCTCATTGCCATAATAAGAAGTGATGTTGAAATTACAGAAAAAAATCACTTAAAATGTCTATAGTAAAACTACACAAGAAAAACAAAAATGAAATAATACAGAAAATTATGAAGTTAAAATATAAACAAATCAGTAGTGATGTTGTTAGTCTATGAGTAAGATACTTACCTGGATAAACCGATAAATGCCTAAGTTTCCTTTGAAACTTACAGGTACCTCTCGAGCATAAAAGAAAAATAATGGACTCGCCCTAGCTCGCCTATGTACGCCCTGAGCTGCGTGAATGAACAGTATCCTCGTTTATCCAGGTAAGTATTCACGAGATAGACCATGAAAACCAACTCGACGTCAGTGAAACTCGAAATATGACTGCTCTAAAACATGACAAACTTTTCTAGAAAGTTTAATTTAGATCCATTTATAAGTTGTTTTTTTTTCAGATATTTAGGTCTGGGACCCTAGCAATTTAAATGACCCTGGAATTTACACCCGAATCTGGATCGTCATATTATGATTTATAAAATACAGTACTTCCTTGTAACATGGTTAAAGTTTCCAGAAAGTTTCATTCAGATCAGTTGATCAATTTCCACTCAAATCCGGATCGTCACTAACATTTAATAATTTCTTCCTTGTAACTTGGTTAAACTTTCCCGAAAATTTCATTCAGATCAGTTGATCAGTTTTTGAAATATCTGGTCTAGGGACGATTTCCTTTGGTGATGGAGATATGGATATGCTACAGGGTCCTTGGGGTCAAAGGTCAGAAATGTCATTTCCGGTCACTTGTAGACAAACTGTTAAATTAGAGCAAATGGAAACATGTATGTTCCGAACAATTTGAGACCAAAATTAAGCCTCTACGATTTTCTGTTGCCAAGGTATATGGATCCCGTCTTTCAGAGATGGCCATTTTGAATTTGGCCATAGCAGGCGTCAGGAACTTGGCACAATTTTTTTAAATCTACACATATATCAAAGATATTTTGTGCCAAGTTTCATCCTTTGGTAATGAAGTGCACAACTTGGCCATTTTTTTGCCCTTAGCTGCTCTACCATAAAGTAAACAACAAAAATCAATACGCTTAAACATGCAAGTTAATAATAGTACACCATCTTTATTACACACACTTTCTTTATTGTTGAATTTGGAAAGAACTCAGCTTGAAAAGAATCTGGATATTTTTCAGAGGAAACTATTGAGAACAACACTCAATGTTAAATTGATTGACAGAATTACAGGTAAAAAATATATGAAAAAAGTCAAATTTTTTTGTGAGATGCATGTGTCGGTTTGTACAGGTTTCGGTCTTTTGTACAAATCTTAAGCTCTGCCCACACTATCAAATTTTATGTGAAAAAAAAGATTTGATAGGGCCTATGCCCATATTTGTGTGTAATATGACATCATCATGCCCATATATGGCCACATCATGCCCATATATGGCCACATCACACACACTTGTCACATAAAATTTGCTAGTGTGAACAGAGCTTTAGGATATTTTCATAGCGATTATTCATCAAGTTTCATTCAAGAGAACTTCATACAACTCTCTGGCCATTGCTTTCAAATACTTTGGTAACATCTATAGAGTACTACAGTGTTACGTCACGATACCATGTGATACTACTCCGTTGCTATCACTGCAAACCATTGATCACAATTTCTAACGTAATTATTAAGATTGTTGTATCTTACTTTTTCTTTGTGAATTTTAATTGATGATTAAATGTGTGTTTGATAACTAATATAATGTGAGATTTTGTGGTTTTAGTACATTTTGATGGTAAAATATTAGATTTTAAAATGCCTATTCCAGAAAGCCTATGAAGTCATTCAGGTGTAATGGTCGGTAACCAACGTCTGTTGACAACAGAGAGCGCCACCTGGCGTTGTGATGACACGACTGTGGTACTCTATAAATATATAAATACAAAGTGCACTGATATATTGAGTTTTATCGATTGCTCAAGTGAAACAATTTGTTCAATTGAACCTCTAATACAATCGAACTTTTTTCTTAAAAATAAAACAATTTGGTGACTCTCAAGAGTCTGCTATTTCTCCTTTAAGCATATGATTGTAAAGTTTATGTAATACTGATACTAGAGGGCACAGGAGCGGAATTAGAGAGGGATATATAAAATGTTACAACATTTGATAACAACATAATCTGGAACACGAATCCTCACATATTAGATACTTATCTGTTACATCTACGCTTACATGTAGTATATGACTAAATTAAATGTTGGTTATACAAATACTAAATATTGCAATATTATGTAACAGCATATACATATACACAACAAATCAAACTATTATTGGATACATAGGCCTATAAATTTGTCTATATACAGTATATACATTGCATCTAGGCCTATACAAAATGGGTGCCCCCCTCATTCGAAATATTCAGGATCTGCCCCTGAACCTGTAGGTAAATCTACAATTGGTTAGCAGAATAGAGATGCATGTTAGTTTGATGAATGCCAGATTGCCTAATTTGGTAAATACAAATTATTTCTGATTCCATTTTTGCCAAAATTCAAAGCCACTGTGAAAATTATCGGAGGGTATCCGAAAAAGTAGTAAAATAAAGACAAAAAAAATTATTGTGTTGGCCATGCCCAACCGACCCAAATTTTATGAAATTCAGGGTCAGCATTTTATTTATTTTTTTTTACTACAACAAACAATTATTTTAATGAGTAATAAGGCGGTAATAGCATTGGCCTAGGATAAGGGCCACGGTCTAGCCTATTCTGCTGCATGGTACGCAATTCAAATTCAAAATTGTACGCGATTCAAATTCAAAAATGTTGTATTATTTGTGTATTTTACACTTTTAAGCGTGAACACATTTTCCTACCGACCTAAATGAGAGATCATGAGAAATTTGTTCTTCTTTCATATATTATCCTATTAATAGTAATAATAATAATAATAAAAAAAAAAAGTTTTCCTACCAACCTACCCATTTTTTGGATTTTTCAAAAACGTGACCAACACAAAAATTATTTTTTGGGCCTAAATGACAGAGAAGTAATTGAATTTTTGTTTTATGAGAGATCATGAGAAATTTGTTCTACTTTCAAATATTAATAGTAGTAATAATAATAATGTAACATTTTCTCAGTACAAAATTTAATCACTTGATTTATGTAATGGAATGAAATTTGCAACTATATCTATACTTTTTAAGTACTATCTATCTACATATATTCTCTTGAAGCAATTTTGAAATATAGAAATTATAACGCTAAATACATTAAATTCTCTGATTCTTTTATATAACACAACTTGCTTTTGAAAAATATCTGTACATAGTATTTTGTCAGCAGAAAGCATAAATTCATTTAAAATTGGTACCATTGCAAAAGATAATAAAATCTTTTTTCACAATTTTTACAATATAAATTAGTCATACATTTTATAGAGATTATTCCAGAATACATCTTTTAACAATAATAAATTTAATGTATGAATACCATTTTTTTCTTTTTCTTTCAGAAAATTTTATTTTACAGATAATTTATAATAGTACTTAATTTTAATATAATTTACAGCTTTGACATTGTTGATGTAATCTTGAAAACATTACTTTTTCATGTGGTATATATTTTGACCAATCAAGATGCTTCATCAGAATCTGATGTTTTCATACTTTCCACAGTAATATTTGAATTATCTTGACTATAATCTGTACTGCCGTAATGACTCTCTTCCGTATCTTTGATTTCATCTTGTACTTTAAAGGATTTGCTTTGTTTAATACGCCCTGCCTTGCGAACGTTTGACTGAAACTCATCAAATTGTGTGAAGTCTTTTCCACTCCATCTCTTCCAGACAAGCAGACGATATATATTTGTTCCTTCCACAGAATTTCCTTTGAGTTTTTCTAAGGACACCATTTTATCACAACCAACTGGAACCAAGCTCTCTGGATAACCTCTTGCAATATACCTAGATTTCTCTAACGACATGCATGCTATGAGTTCACTGCTTCTTCTGCCATACCTATTTTCTACAACATTAATGACCATTATCTCACCAGCTCTTGTGCAAACCCATAGTGTATCTTCTACAGCATGGACAGAAATTATTTTTGTCTTGCTAAGACATTCCTGGGGCTCAACTGTCCTGCTTCTTTCACGTACAAGCCTTTGAAAACCATTATGGGATACTGGAAGAGATGAGCAATTCCTATTCTGATTCCTCCTAGAGGTACTAGAGTCTTCAAAATGTTCCCAATTGAAGTATATTTTGTCATTGTCCTCGAAAATGGAACACAAACGTGATTCCCGGTCACTGTTGCTTCTTTGCAAGACCAACCTAGGATGATTAAACCGGGATCTGTTGGTGCCAACCTGATCTTCTGGGGGGAGGGTGCTTAGTAATGACTGAGTAGTCTTCTCTTGGCACTTAAATGTATCAACATAATATCTTGAAACAACATCAAATTGCAATATACTCGAGGAGCCATCGGTGCACCAGACTTGACCATTTGAATGATCTAGACTTCTTATGTGTGTGGAAGACTTTGGGAACACAGTTATAAAGTCTTTGGTCAGTGACATGTTTTTAACATTCACGATTCTAATGACATTTCCACAGCCAACCCAAAGTTCATCATTGTGATTAGTGAATACCATAGCCCTGCAAGGGCTGTTTCTATACACAGTTCCTAAACGACCGACAATAAATAATGTCTTTATATCCTTTATATCCAATTTGCCTGTACCATCTTGATTTAAGTCTAAACAACGATTAATAATAACCAGACTTCCATTTTCACGACCAGCAAATGTATACAATGTTTCTTCCCCAGTCTAAAAAATTGAAAATCAAAAATACTTACTAACATTAACAGTTTAAAAAGAAAACACATAAGTTAACTTCTAATGAAACTCAGATCAAAATTATTGTTTTCATGATACAATCTTTTATTACCCATAAAATATAACAGCCTTTGGCCTTGTAATTGCTATGGATTTCTTTCATTCTGATTTTCGTTTGAAAGTGAAAAACTTGTAATTAGATTTCAGTATTGGATTTTAATTTGTAGATAAACAGGTAGTAGCTAGAATTTGTGATACAAGCAACCTTTCCATTTCATTTTTCTTCAACCAGATAAATAAAACACCATTTAACAACATAAAAAAGAATAGGTATAAAAATACAGATACATTAAGGCCTATACAAACATTTTTTTTAATTAAATAGAATATCAGCACTATAAAAATATAAAACTCTATACACAAAAAAAAATTAACATTTACAATACACTAAATACATACTGGACAATATAAATACATTAAAAAGTATAATCTTAAAATGGAGATATCTTAACAAGATAAAACAAATTACTTACACTTCCAACTTTAAGGTTTAACAGACAGCATACAGGAGAATCCATCTTAAAATTATGTGGTGGACCTACAATTGCCCCATCATCTTGAGTAGAATAAAACTGGAGAAATTCCTGATGAAGATTAGAAGAACAAAATACATTCAAAATAAAACTTGATAAGCATTGGTCTGCGTATGGACTAGGCAGTGAATCCTCACATGAACTCTGACCTTAGACCCACCAGCAGGGGAAAGGTTTAGTGTGGGCCCCAAGGCACAAAACATTTTTTGGGGGAACCTTGTCAATCTGGAGGGGCCCATCATTAGGGGACCCATGCTATTATTGAGGGCCCATGATATTAATTATTATTTTTGAAAAAAAAATAGTGAAAAAAATGCTACCTGCAATTTCAAACCCCCCCCCCTCCCGGTAAGCCTGGGCCCCAGGGATCTTTCCCTCTACCCCCCTTTCAGTGGTACTGCCCACCAGAATACCTTGAAGCTTATGGACCCCAGGTCTTCAATTAAGAAATCTTGGTTTACAGACATGATGGATGACATATCAACCATTAAATTCTGTTTCAATGAGACTTTTATAGTGTATCCAATTTAAACAATTTACATACGAACAAAAACAAGCTTAGAACCCACTGCACTGACGGTCGTTGGCCAACACAATTCCACAGAGTACACATTGCAACGACATTCATGCAAAAATTCGCTTTTAATGATGATCTGCTAAAACTGCCGCTGAAAATCAGCAGAGTCAGACAGCATCGTGTCATCAAATGCTCACAGAAATCGGAGCTGGATTCATCGCTTGACAGCCGTACAGCCATTGTATGATGCTGTGTATGCCCAGCATTGAAATACGGCAAACAAAATATTAAAATACAAAATGTTGATATTTCTTTGAATAATCTATGTGTGTTTATGTTCGAAATATATTTGGGTGCTATTCTTTTTACATGTCCCTTCACCCTAGTCATATGAAAATGCATTGTCAACAAAAATTTATTTTGTAAATGTTTTGCATGTTGATAAAAAGTGTCAAAAAGTAGTACTGCGTGCATTAAATGTATCTTGTATAAAAACACCACAGCATGGAATCAGATGCCCTATGTATGAGGAACAGTACGTATTCACCAATCTACATTCATGTATTTGTTTATTCGTCCTTTCATCCATCCATCCACATACCCACCCACACACAAATACAAAAAAAGTAGTGGCTATTATTATACTTGCCTTAAACCAATTCCTAATTCTGATTGGATGATAGAATTAGGAAATTTGGCTTAAGACTGGTGCAATAACAGACACTGCCAAAAAAAACTCAAAGTCTTACATTGGTGCCTAGCCAAATGCCACCATATCCTTCCAACATACAGTTGACCTTTGGCCCAGAACATGGAATTGCTGATATCTTCAGTGTTTCCATGTCAACAATCCGACAAAAACGGTTCTGGTCATTTCCATTTGATGTCCAAATCCAGAGAAGTGTATGGTCCTTAAAGATTTATTTTTTTAAAGAATTAGGCCAGGTATACAAAAAGATTACTGACGTTATCATCTACTTAAAATTGTATAAAAAGCATCCAGTTATTAAGCTCCCTCAAATATGATATTTATAACATTTGGTGTTCACTTTGTGAAATTTAATCATTGACAGTAATGTATTTACCAGCCAATTGGGTTAATACCGATCATGGGCATCGTACTTAAAGAACATTTAGACTGCAACCTGCCGCCAATGAATGAGAGCAAAGTCATTATAGAATTTATGCAACCTGTAGTATACAGCCCAAAAGCACTTCAAGCGCCACTGTGCCAGACGGCCACAGGCTAACTGCAGATGAATGGTTAGCTTAGTGCTGAATACAATGGAAAAGCAGCAAATGCAACATCATCATCTTCTGTTTAAAATAATGACCACTGGCTGGAACGCTTTGCCCACAGCAAAGTACGAGCAAAGGTGCACTGACAGTGATCGATATTGTATGCAACAGTTTAAAGGAAATTAATAATTTATACATCACTTAATTGCAAAGGAGATTTTTTTTTTTCAAATTAGGAAACTATAAAACTTACTTAAATTACCTCAACATAGAAAATATAGTTTAAATACTGTTCTGAGTACTTTCTTATTGAGGAGAAATGAAATGGAATATGGCACTTTTTATTATGCAGAAACATGGTATGCTATTACATATATTTTCTAAGTCTCTTCAATATGTTTGAATTCATATCATTCACTCAAAATAGTATTCTTAGTTTGGCAATCAAATCTCCCATTCAAATATCTCGGTATATTATCTTACTATCCCTTCAGAATTATGAAAATGGCATACGGCTCGTAAATTTCAATTTGTTACAGACATGATTCAAACACCAAGCCCCTGGGGAGGCTAGTCTTTCAGACTGATTGTGCCACCCAGGTTAGATATTGTGAATATATAAATAAAAGCAATCAGCGCTTTGAAAAAATGCTGTGAGAAAAAAAAAATATAAAACATTTAAAAATTTTAACTTACTATATTAAACTACTCTAGTGATTCTCCGATGCCAATGAGAACATAAATTAAATTAGCATAAAATATTCAAGTTAAATAGGCCTAGGCCTATCAATAAAATTTATATTTGAAAATATAAATGTACAAACTCATCAATGAAATCGATTAATAGTTAAAAGATAAAAACATTAAAAATACAATAAAAATTGAAATAGAAGAATTGCAGCAAAACACTAATGTTAAAATATTCAATTTACAAGGGTGAAATGTGAGATGAAATATCAAAATAGAATTATTGCTAAGCATAAAATAGTTAAAGTTCTGATAAAGGAATCAATTCCAAAAACAAGTTCATCACAGACATCAACAGTTTATCATAAACTCTCGGAAAGTTATTAAAAACGTGAAATTTAAAACTACTAGTACACGAGTGTGTATAAATTTAAGATGATCTAGTATGCCTAGTATTAAAAATTCATTCTACTGTTAAGGTATTAACTTCTAAATTTTAACAGTCTGCTAATTTACAATCCAGTGGGCGTTAGTGGGGTAGATATAAGCGTGATTGGTAATTCCATTTTTATTATGCTAAAAGGTTAAGCATCAAGGAAACTTTGGTATTTATCAGTTTATCCAGAAATAGAAACAGAAAATATTTACATTATATCTCTTACAAACAAAATTTGTGAGAAGTATAAAAACACATACCTTAGATGAATAAGCACAATCAATAACATCGTCATTGTTCTCAACACGATAAATGTTCTCCAAACATAGAAAGCTAGGATCCTTCATTTTTTCAGAGATTTGCCCCGAATTTGGTCGATCAGTTGGTTTACCATGCCAGCATGACTTCATAAGGTCTTCCATAAACGGAAAAGAAGGTTCTTGTGTGAACTCTATGAATGTGAACTTTGGCCGCTCTCCTTGCTTTATCTTATTTCGCACATCAAGAGATGACTTCAGTTCAACCAATGGCCAGCGGCCTGACATCAAGTTGTAGAGAAGCATTCCATACGAAAATATATCAATCTACAAGAGTGAAATAATTTTTTTATTTTATTGATATAACATTTTTTTAGAAAACTGAATAAAAACATTATGATGAAAAATGCAAAAATCCATAAAAATATTGATGTTTTTCTTTGATATTTTAAAGCATCTGTAACACTTGGTTGTTGCACAAACAAAATAAAATAAATATACGTTTTACTATATTACCTGTTTATCATAGGCACCCAGGGAAATTTCTGGGGCTGAAAATGCGGGATTTCCAGCCTCACCTTCAGCTTGGTGTAAAAAGCTAATTTTGGAGATTCCATAATCAGCAATCTTGATGTTAATCGGGTCCTGGGGATTCAGTGACCAGACCAAAACATTGTCAGTTTTCAGGTCACAATGGATAACACTCTTCCCATGCATGTAGTCCATGGCTGCCATGATCTGATGTGCAATCTTGAAAGTGATGGTAGGGTTCAAAATGCACCCTCTTAAACGAGACCCAAATCTGACTGTTTGCTTTGTATTTTCAAGTTCCCTTTCCAGCAAAGACTTCAGATCTCCAAGTGGTGCACATTCCATTGCAAAGCAAACACCTTTTATAGAAACACCAACTAACTGGATAATGCAAGGATGCTTTAAACGAGTCATTGTAGCCACTTCACTGCGAAGATTTGAAAACTTGGCAACAACTTCAGTTTTTAAAGCCATTATTCTGTCAGTATCTTGAATTGAGGATCCGGTTGAAGGTGTTAGACTGGCAGAGCTGCATGAGGAGGTGCAAGAGGAAGTTCGACTGTGGACACCAGTGTTACAGCACGGTGTGATCACATACTCTGACATGCCTTGCAAAGTAAGGAATCTTTCAACATTTAAGAACTGCTTGACTGCAAGGTTACGATCGTTGTGAACACATTTGAATACTGATCCATACCCTCCTCTTCCAAGTCGATCTTCTTTATCAATTTCAAATCCTTCTTCGTCCAGAGAAGGGACCTTCAGGTCAAGCATGTAGATATCAGGAATGATCATTTGCAATGAGATGGGTCCATTATGCTTCTTGCAATGTGCTTCTTTGACCATAGTTGCAGAAAAAACACAATCTTCGAAGGTGAAGAACTTTTGATGGTTAAGATCACTTGGTGTGTATAGGGATCCCCTCCGACCATTGTCACACACTGGACATGGTATCAGGATTTCCATAATTTTTTCTCCATTCTTTTCATTAATATCTGTAAGACCTAAGGGTATGAATTAAAAATATTGATAATAATAATAATAACAATAATAATAATAATAATAATAATAATAATAATAATATGGTAATTAGAATAATGATAATGATACTATTGATAAAATAAATTAAAAAGATAATACTGTAATAATAATAATATTAATAATAATTACAGAGTTGATAGTTATAAGATCTTTCTATGTAGTTAACAGGTAACAATATTTCTCAGATGAGATTACGATTTGTGAGACAAGACACGAAATAACACATTATTTTTAATTGTTACGGTAACAATTTTAAATCATTATTGCATCAGTCCTAACCATAATTAAAACATGTGAAAACATTTTTATAAAATATATTGATAATACATGTTGTTTCCTTCAAATGTTTTGTTGTTTTGCCCCCGTGGCAGCAAATTAGTGGATTAGAATACTAAAAATTGCCATTAATTTTGCATTGGAATAGAGATTAGTTCAGCATTCCGAGATTTAGTTCCGCATTCTCATTGTTTGCAGCCCCACCCCCACCAGTCTGAAACCAGAATACACCCCTGCCCTGTTAAGGCAAGCCATACAAACAGGTTATCATCTGAATTTCATACTATTGTTGTTAATAATATTTTGCATCCTGTGAGTTGGCTCACTGCATGCATCTCATATGGGAAAAGGCCAAACTATTATTATTATTATTGTTATAAATCCATCATTAATCATTAATATTATAAAAATTATATCATGAAGTACATCAGTGTTATTAAAACAAATGGTAGCAAATACCTGGAAAGACATCATGAATAAGGTTGTCGATATGATCAACAATAAACCCAATAGCTGAGAAATTGGAGTCTTGTCGAGTAACGCCGATTAAAACAGCAGGCGTTCCATTCACAGTTGCTGACTTAACAAAGAAGTGGCCGCTCGTTTCGAATACTACAAGGCCTTCTTGCCAATACAGTTCTTGTCTGGTTTTTCCACCAATCTCTGGATTTCTTTTACGACTATTGAAAAAGAAAAGGACAAGTAACATATAAGTATAAACATAAAGTATTTTTGTATGTAATACAGGGGTGCTGCAAAGGGTTCCTACACAGGGGTGCTGCACAGGGGCCCTGCACAAGGGTTCTCCACAGGGGTCCTGCCCAGGGATCCTGCAGATGCTAAAGGTTAATAGGGTACTTCTTAAATAAATTAAAGATAGAAAAGCTCACTATATTGGTCAAATACAAAAGCAGTACTGTTTAATGTAACAAAATTGAAGCGGGGTAGAGGAAATACATGCTTGCCAATATCACTTTTAAAAAGCTTTAAAAAAGTATGGTCTATTGTGTATGTATGCAAGGCTTAACTTGTTTCAATATATTACTGTATGTAACTCCAAAAATATGTAATGGATGTTGGCTTTTGTCATCGTAAACATCTCAAATGTAGGCTCAGTACCCTGTATCCCAAAATTATCTCTAATGAATCACTGTACATGCTGCTTGACAAACACAAAACCACTTTCAGGGCGTACTAACCGTTCAAGATGGAATAATTATTAGGCCATATTTTTCTCTTAAGTGAATCTTTCTTACTATAATCAGCTCTTAAATTTGCTTTAACAGACTTTCTGGTCTTAAAGGTTGACATATTAAAATATCAACTTGTTTAAATGCAATGACCTTCACCATCATAATTTTACACTTTATTAAACAAGATCTGCCCTATCTGCTAATAGTTACATGGAATATGGAATAACTGCATTTAGTCCCTAAAACAAGATTTAAAAAAAAAATAACGATAGATGAGGATATAAAAAAATTTCCACTCCATAAGCCTTCCAGTGTATCAGTCCATTTTGAATGATGTACTGCTTATTGAAGTGAAGGAAACGAAAGTAAGAAACTAAAAATAAGCAATTTTAATAGTAACATTAATCAGTTATACAAGGCCAAATAAGCAAATTACCAATATTATATTAATATGTTATCATCCCAGTTACTAATAAGCAGATGGCAGTCAACGTGTTAATGATTTATACATACTGTATCACTATAAATAAAGATAATATTTACTTTCTCCTTGTCAACCCAAATCTGGCACGATGTTTCCTTGTGCTCATCATCCCACGGTCACCCTGTAGACTTATAATGAGCTTTGACAGCAGTCGGTTCCAGAATCCTACGGGAATGTACGCCATCTTATACACTCGTTTGATCTCCTTAATACCGATCGCAGTTGTAAACTCATGGTCTGATTTATGTCCTGGTTCCTGTTTTGGCAACTTGCATGGAACTAGAAGTCTGAAATTTATTTAAACAATAATGTATACATAATAAGCTACTAGTATATCAATTATTATTGTTATCTGGCCATTTATTGGAACATATAAGAGTGAATCCAGGAGTGAATGTAAGGGTGTAAGAGTGAATGTTGGAAATCAATCCAAACATGGGTTGATTTCCAACAAATTCAGATATTCAATGATTTTACGCAAATAATGAAATACAGTATTAACAAACCTTCTCTCGTCTATTTTGATGGCTATTTCAAATTTAGCCAACAAGTGTAAGTACTGTTCGAACCAGTCATCATTTTCTTCAGAATTGTGATACTTCTCTTTCACCACTTCAATTTTAACTTTTCCATTTTGAAACATGTCACTTGGAATTTTAAGCACGATACTCAGCATTTTGCACAACCAGGCTGGACTAAGAAAATACACTGTATCCATGCTATTCAAGTTGTCATGGTAATGGAGAACTGTTCCAGTGTCACAAAGAAACTGCACAGCTAATGAGGAAAGATAATTATACAGAAATTATAAATATATACATTGGAAAAAAATATGCATATTGGCAAATAAGAACATACTGTAATACACTGTACATTATTCAATTTCCTTTCAGCAGTCACCTCCCCTGCCCCCTCTACCCCTCCCTTCCTAGTGAAAACACTCTCCTTTTACAGGGAAGCTATGTAAATTGTTAGCCATATTGTATTATATCGTAAAAATACATATAGAGTAAATATATACAATCCATATTTTTCAATAAAAGCTTTAATATTAAGTAAATAATTAAAAAATCAATTTTATTGTCAAAATGTTTTAGCACCAATCACATACAGTATATATCAATAAACCTTTTTCAATGTGTATCCCCAATAAATGCTGTCACGTATAGGAATCTATGTTTAAATCAATTAATTATTGTCACAGAAATTCATAAGACTAACTGGGACAATATCTTTACCTTTTCTAAGCTCTTCATCCGTTTCCAGATCAAGGCGATGTATTTGAACCATATCTGTCAAGCTGGCCTCGGTCAAATAAGGAGGACGGTGTGATTTTGTCAGCATAGAAGCCTCTTCTTGAATGATTTTTCGCAGTGAGATGTAGCTTCGGGGAACCTACAGAAAAAAAAAAAATATTTTTTGTTAACTTATTGTGAAAGATAAAGGTCTTTAAAATGAAAATGAATACAAAATTTATCTAATATAATGCATAACAAAAAATTATAGCATGCAAATAAAAATTCTTATTACGCTAACATGAAAGATAAATCACAAATCATCATAAATTTAGTAATTTTGAAAATATACCACATGTCACAAAATATTGAAAACCTCAAAGAAGTTAAGAAATAAGAACTCTGAATAGCTTTAAATATGTTAATAATTTACGATGGTACACATATTTTTTTTTAACACTGCATTTGCTGATTTACAGTAATTTTACAAAAGAAATCCTTAAAGTACCAGCCAACTGAAAGGTAAATGCAAAAACATAAAACTCACTAGTCTACCAATAACAGGCCCTTGTCCCTTAGGAAGCTTAAATTCACAGGCAATATCGTAAACCGTCTTCTTCAGTTCTTTGACTCCACTTCCCTGTGGACTACTGGCATTGACACATCTGAAGATGATGTTCTTTGGATATCCAGTGCTGTAAAAGTACCGCTCTTTGATGAGTGAGTGTAATCTTGTGTATGTCTCATTCCAGTTTTCTCCACTTGATGATAACTTGTCCATATGGGTACCAACAATTACAACCAAATTGTTCACAGACCTAGCCTAAAAAAGTATTTAAAAAAAAAACCAAATCATTGAGATCCTAATTAAAATAATGGAGTACAATAGGGATTAACTGCTTAAAAAAAGAAATATTATTATGAATATCTGAAAGTAGTTTATGGTATTAAAAAAATACAGAAAACTATTAGCATCTTTGTGTATAACCAGAAAACACCAAATTTACCAATATGTCATTAACTCCTCAATTGTATGACCTTATCACCCTAACCATTTTCTCCAAATTATACATAAATTACCTATAATCTCCATATAGATCACCATCAACTCAAGTGTCAATGGCACGTTCCTTTGTACTTAAATAGCAACGTGCAAAACAATCGCAAAATTTATATACGACCTTACTGCCTTGTTGAAATTGCAAATTCTTTTTAATTAAAATCAAGTATTGAAAATTACAAAAAAATTGAAACCTTTACATTATGCATTAAGCTACAATTTTTCAAATTAATGATATCTAATTAATTACTAACGATTACTGTAAAGCCCTTTATTTTTGCGGCCATTTAATTTCATGATTTTACAATTATTTTGCACCCTTTTATTTTCGCAATTTTACAATTTCCTGTCGTTTTTTATGCATCCTTAATTTTTGCGATCATCGTCTTTTCACGAAAATCACAAAAATGAAGGGCATGCGAAAATAAAGTGCTTTACAATATTACATTTTGAAAGAAATGATACATATTTTAATCTTCATTAGGAAGCTTATATGCCTTTTGTCACTTTCATCATGGTGGAACTAATTCTTCTGTGCTTTCATGCAATCAATTATTATCTTATCAACAATATTTATTCTGTCTGTCAAGAGCAAACTCTCATCTTACTTTCATTATTATTGTGCTCATGATTTTAATTCTCTGATTTTGATTTTCAATAATAGGCTCAGTTGCTGGGAAGTTTTATTAAATAAATTACAATGAATTAAAATTGAAATAAATAAACTGAAATTACAGACACCACTAGTCATTGAGCTTACTGTTCAGTGATCTTTGAATTACAGGTTTTTTACCCTAACTGCCTGAATATTATTAAATACAGGTACTGGACAACATACAAATATAAAGTAATTTTATTCCTCTTAAAATCTATTTTGGATTTTGGCAAATGCTATATTTTCGTTATCTATTTTTGATATCTGTGCATTTTAAACCACTTAATAGTTGATTATGTTCACTCTTGGTTTTCCTTCCTCTAGATCTGTCTGTTTCTCTATTTAATTCACTTTCTATTAGTTACTTCTTACCTGAATGTTTTGAAGCCAAGGTCCCAGGTTTTCAACTCCATCCTCATCGTCTCTTACATCCCACACAACAAGGAACAGTGTATTACTAGTCATAAGGCTTTGGTGGACCAGTGACAGCTCAGGAGAGCATTTCAGATCAAAGATATTGAAGGATATATCTGATGCCTGTGAACACTGCAACTACAAGAAAATAATTAAAAAGAGACATTAAAATATCTTGGTATAAATACAGATTATACATTATTATATATTATGCAACTATCCTTAACACTCTGCCCGCTAACACGTAGATCTCAGTGTATGGTAACACAATGCCTGGCCGCCAAACATCTCCGTGTTTCAGTTTTTACGGAATCCAATAGATGGGGTAATTACCGACATGTACCAACAATTTGAACACTATTCAGTTCGGACCGTAAGTATTTCACTATTTGTTTGTTTACATTAGCATAGCGATATTTATTTACTTTCACGAAATCGCGATTATCTCAGCTTTGTTGTGCGAAATTTCGTAAATCTCCAAAAGTGAGTCATTTTCATTTTACTGTTATGGGTTACAGATTGTGATTAGAGTAAAGTGTTTGTCTGACCGTTTTTTTCTTCTGGTCTGTCTTTCTAATCTGTTTTCCTATTTTTAGGCGGACCCAACACAAGGTTGTTATCTTCTCGGGCATTTGCCTTCTTCCTTGCATTAAATTTAAGTTATACAGCTTCACAATTTCTGAATTTTGTAACATGAATCATTTTTATTTAAGATTATTAGTATATCACTACAACTTCTGTATATCAAACTTGTTTAACTTTTGCATGTACCATCTTCTCAAGTAAGAAAATAAATTTTTATTTGAATTTGAATAAAATTATATTTTTTTTAAATGAACTAAAATACAAGGAGAGCAGAGATAGAATTGAACCAATGACCAAAGCCTTCCATGGTTGAGTGCATACATGCAATGGAAATAAATCACACCCCACTATTTTTGTTTGTTTAAAGATTATTTAGGTTCTGTTTTATTTAGTCTTACCTTATTAATGAGAGCGTATCCCAGGCATTCCCTCTCACTAATGTCCCAGACACACTCATTTATGACAACTCCAGCCTCAAAATCCTCTTGCCATTTCAGGTTGGTCAATGATGATATGAGAGTCGTCTTCCCTGCATACTAGTGGCAATGATGATAAATGGTAAAAAGTATTATAAAGTTAATAATAAGTACATCAAGCAGTACATAAAAATAAACAGGTATGACAAGTAAGCGTAATATGTTTTGCGATTACAAAATCACTATCATGTTTCGTATTTAAAATTAATATATATTGCATACATAATATATTTATCTATTCAATATACATATATAAAAAAAATACATATACTGTAATAAATACAATACCTTTGGTCCAATGACCATCATTTTCATTGTGTTAAATTCAACAGACATCCGATGACGATTTGTTAGGAACTTCAACAGATTCCTGGTATACAAGCCATTAGGGTTTGAGATAATTGCCTGGATACCTTGCGGTTGGGTAATGGGAGCTCCGTTCAAATTTAAGCGTGTAAGATTCTTGAGCTCCCCTAACTTGTCTGGTAGCCTTGTCAGTCCATTACAACTATTATTTGTACATCAAAAAAAATTAGAAATATAGTACAATTATTACTGATAGACAACTCTGCATTACCTAAAGGTAAAGGTAAGGTTAAAAGTAGAGGAATAAACCATAACTTGCAGCGTCATTTTGCTGAATTGCGTATGGGCATGGTCCATGACTACCTAGCAGCCGTAAAAAGGCGCTTACAGTAGCTACATTTGCCAAATGAACCATAACATCGGGGTAAAGCCCTACTCTTCCGAAAGATGCAATGGGTTCTTTGAAGTGTACACAAGCCAGATGGCGTTCTACATAAAATCTTGTGGGCCAACGAACATTCGATGCAGTGGGTATCCGGCTTAAAGATTAGACTACAATTCAAAGTTGTACACTTACCCATGAAGGTCAAGCTCCCAAAGGTTCTCCATTTTGCAAATACTCATGGGAAGGTAGTTGATCTGGCAGGCAGCCAAGCGGAGATACTGAAGCGACCGGAAGAACTTGGCGGGAAACTCTAACTTTGTTTTAGTAGTCCTCAAGTCAAGGTAGAACTGTGATGGTGGACAAGATGGATTAATCACGGGTGACTTTGACACCGGCGACCTTGACATTGGCGATCTTGACCTTGGTGACCTAGGAAGTGGTAGCCTATGGAAAAGTTCATAGTTCATACTTGAATAAATTTTTAAATAACGTTTTCACGATATAGTTATTGGTCCATTTTAAATACCTGTATTCTATTTAAAAAAAAAAAAAAACTACATTAACATTGATTATAATTTATATCAATAACACAGAAAGACCAAAGCAAAACTTTGATACACTTACAGTAAAAAAAATGAATATGACTAAAACAATATATTATTATGTTAATATATTTTGTAATTTATAGTAATGAAAAGATGAAAATATTGCAAACATGTCTTACTTATCATTGATGTGAAATGCATTTAAATTACTACACATAACAATAAAATCAAAGGACCTACAACAAATCAGGGTCATCTTCTTGATGGATCAATGGGTTGTATGACAAGTCCAGTTCCTGAAGTCCAAATATTGTCCACTCTTGAGGATCTGGCAGTTCTCTTATGAAATTTGAAGCAAGCTTCAATACCTTGAGTGAAACAAGCTTTGTAACCGTTGCAGGTACCTCTTTAAGAGTATTGTTGCTGCAGTCGAGTTCTGCGAGTGTTCCTTCCCAGTAATCATGCATATTACGCTGTTCTTCCATTATATTATTTGACTCTGCAGACAAAGTTCTCTGAAAGATAAGATAATACAATTTTATTTTTAATTTGCTATGCTTTTTTAACTACAGTAGAGCCCCTCCTTATATATATATATTTTTTTACCACTATTGAATTGAGTTGACTTGAATTTATTTGGTGTAAATACCAAGGATAGCCCACGGAAGTCTAGAAGAAGACTTATTTCCAGTGGGGCCATTCTAGTGGTAATTGGGCAGTACACTGGGAGACAATCCCCTACTCTTTTCTGAAGAGTGTACTGCGTTCTTTAACGTGCACATGGGCCATCAATGCACACGGACCAATGACTTAAATGTCTCATCCAAAAGACGGTGCGCTATTGTAACTTGTATTTCAGCCCTCCAGCTGAAACACAAGAAAAGGCAGTAATGGGAATTTAACCGGGGACCTAGAGATCTCTACGGTTCAGCGCACACACAGTGGCTACCACCAGATTAGCCGACTGAGCTAAGCTGCTCTATGACCAACCCTTAATAGGGGTTCTACTGTGTATATTGCAATACACTACAAATAGTAAGAGGTGATGTTGATTGTAAATCTATCATGATTGCAGATGACACAACAATTTTATGATTTTTTTCTCTGATCTCAGAAGACTGAAAATTAATTCCAAGATATTTGGAAGTTTCAACTCCATCCACATCATAATTGTAAATAGAATGAGAAATATTAATACACTAATCAAAAGAAAACCTAGTACCAAATAACATAATTTTTTAGGGTTAGTGAAATAGTATCAAACCATGTAGCAAAGTAATTAGTATTTGTTTCAATCAAAGACTGAAGATGAGCTGGATCAGAGACAAAAATCATGTTTTTTTTGTGTTTTTTTTTTTTTTTGCTGTATTTTTATATCCTCTCCTACATTTTTTTTTCATTTTCCCCCAATTTAATGTTCCTTTTTTACTTTTCTTCATTTTTCTTCATTTTATTATATTTCAATTTCATTAATAACTTCGTAGCTGATAATCAAAAGTGTATTTATTGTGTATTGAATATTTTTGATTTTTATTGTTTAGTCTTTTTAATTAAAGAATTTTTAATTGTAAATTTTATGTAATTCAGCTACAAATTCAGCTGCCAATCAAATACTATGAATTGAAATTGAAACAGACAAACAACAAGAAAAATCATGTAAAGCAAGATACATCTAGATAAACACAATGTATTGGTATAATTTGTAGATTAAGATATTCCATTCCTAATTTTGCTTTAAGACTGCTTGCTAATGCAATTGCATTTCCTTGTTTTGATTACTGTGGTAATGTTTGGTCAAACTGTAGTTCTGAAAATATTAATCATCTTCAAATATTTGCTAGAAATCTTTTTTATGCTAATATTTACATCCCTAATACAAAACTAAAACTAATTTCCATGTTAAATTGGAAGAGTATATGACACATGAGAAAATGAGATTATTTAAATGTCTACAGGGTTCTGCATTATCATATTTGACCAATCAATTCCAAATTTACATCCCTAATACAAAACTAAAACTAATTTCCATGTTAAATTGGAAGAGTATATGACACATGCTTTTGAAGCCCAAATGGACCACACATATTTGCTGTGAAATTACAATAATCTCCACCACTGCTAATACTCATTATCATTCAGTTATGGGATTCACACTCATGTATCAAGATGTCAATATTTTGCATTATAAAAATGAACACATTTGATTATCTTTACCAATGGGCAGTTCCATGGCCGAGGTAATGATTTTAAGTTGTTGTGTGAAACATCTAACACTTCAAGTGACGTAGCTCCGCATATCCCACGAGGATTTGATGACAGAGAATTATGGGATAGGTTCAAACTCTGAAGCTTTGAGCATTTCCAAGTTATGTGCTTAGCATCTGCAATTTAAAAATATCACAACATTTAACCATCCCAGTCAGTTTACGGCTGTTATCCAGTTTTGAGGAACAGAATGTATGAAAATTAAATGCATTAAGGTAATTTCCAGGGGTCTGTTCTATGCCGTTATATAGACATGATGTCAGACGTGGATCCAGTTTGTCAAATAAAATTTGATAGTCTGGTCAGGGCTTAAAATTTATCACTTCACAAATATCATTTATCTTAAAAGTATCTCTTCAGAGAACTTCAGTAATCACTTTTAATGAGTATGTATTACATTTTTCTCTATTTGATCTATGTGTACTGAGTACTATTGCTGTACCCATACTTACAAATGCAAGTGAAAATAGTTCCTCCAATCGGATTCAAATTACATTAAGCCCCCATTTGGATAAGGCATCTGCATATTCAGCAGAAGATCGGAGTTTGAATCAGTGAAATTTATTCACTTTCGCAGATTCCTCATCTTTACTAATTAAAATTTATATATCATATTTACTCAAATAAATGCCCTGGGGCGTTTATTGTTGAGAAGGGTTTTTGAGGGGGCGTTTACTCGAGGGAGGCATATATTTCAATGAGACTTTTATTCTTCTTTTTTTTTGTAAAATGGATATATCTAAAAATAATAATAATAATAATAGTTGGATTTGTAGAGCGCATCATGCAAAAAAGCCTCTATGCGCTACATACTAAAATAAATGCCCCTTAATTACACTGTAAATGTGGAAATACAACACATAATTACTGACAAAGTGTGTTACTATGTGATCATAAAAACTTATTGATCCCAACCATGTTTAGAATAAATGTAATTCTACATGAGTAGAACATTAATAGAGTGTGTTGAGAATGTTATTGTTCCATTAGATTTGTCCACAGTCAGAGTGTTTTTATGAGGAAAAAATACACACCACAGGGTGTTTATTCGATGGAGGGAGGTGTTTATTCCAATTGAGGCTCTGGAGAGGGCGTATATTCGAGAGGGGAGTTTACTCAAAGTGGGGCATTTATTTAAATAAATACGGTATTCAAGTATTACTGCAAGATTGTTTAAAGGTAATGTTAAGATACTTATATAGTTGACAACTTGAGTAGATAAAAATAGTCGTTTATATCTTGACTGTGTATTTTTCTATAACTGTGTTAATAATTACTGTTTCCCTTTTTTGACTCTCTCTGGTTGTCGTAGCCGTATCTTCTCTTTTTAATATTCCTTTTCTAGAATTAATGTCTCTAAACATGGTTATAACATCTGACTATCTACCATCTTCAATTTTATTTCTCTTTTTGATAAAACTATTGATGTTTATTTTAATTCATTAGAATTATTTAAAAGTAAAGTTAAAAGTTTGTTTGTATGTTTAGGCTTTTGCTGACTTTCTTTATCCATGTTTTGTATTTAATCGATTTGTCATTGTTACATGTATTCCATTCTTTTAAAGGCAGGCATCCAGCTGTTGGATGTGAATTGAAATAAAATAAAATAATTAATACTGCAGTACCACTGTTAGCTTGACTGGAGAACTTCTTCAATAAAAACTTCATGTTGTTTTTAGACAGCTCCAGTTTTTCCAGTTGTGAAAGACAGAAAATTTCAACAGGAACACAACTTAATTTATTTCTGGACAGATTAAGAGTTTGTAACCTGAAATATAAATTTCATCACATTTAAATAATTTCTTTAAAATTCAAAAAAATTATGGATATATTTTAAAGTATTGTTCGAAGGTTTGCTTGGCGAAGTAATAGCATATATGTTGAAGCTTGCGGTACACCACTGCGGTGTGCCTCAAGCCAAGTTTCAACATATATGATATATTTAAGGACAAGGTGTAACAATCTGAATTTTTTTTTTGACTGGTGTTAGAGCTATGTGTTAGCTGAGATGTAATGTTCCTGCTTCTTGTGCTGTCAACCCTGGTTCAAACCCAGCCAGCGTCGTTCCGCTCCTCGAATAACCCTCGCATGAGAGTTAGGCGAGATAATGGGGTGATGTATACATTATATGTCAGTCCTACGCTGCACTGTGGCTGCTACGGTCCCCAAATTTAAATATTTGGAATTGGACCAAAAAAGGAAAATGTTATCTTTTAATCTTTAATTTTAACCAGACCCATTTAATGATGTAACTATAAAATAAACAATTTGTTTTTGCCATAAACAACTATTTAGGTCTATAAATTTGAAAAATTACAAATGAGAATGACTAGCAAGATATTTTATCTTTTATGCTTGATGGATACTTTGGCATTTATTGGTTCATCCAGGTATGTATTCATGAATACATACCTGGATGTATTTATGTATTTATGAAATAGACTTTTGTATTTAATATTACATGAATACACTTTTGATCTTATCAATCAATTCTCTCTGGTTTTTCTACTGATTAATCAGGATGTTGAAACCAACAGGATGTTTTTTGACTGCTCATGAACTTCCTACCTAAGATTTTTGAATTGTATTAGTGTATATGCAGATACAAATGAACAATTGCTTAATCAAACATATCCACCATAGTGAAATTGGATTAAACAAAAACTGTTGTATGCCCATCATATATATTCATGATATGCCTACAGTATATATGGTCATGTGATGTCATCGTGACCATATTTAGGCATGTTTTGACAGTTTGGACAGGATTCTACTTTGATGAAAATACATACTGCATATGAGCTAGGCCTCTTGTAAAACTTTAGTGTGAACTACCACTAACATGTATTGCAATCCATATTTGGTATTAAATATAAAATCATACTTTTGCAATTTAAAAGGTTTTTATGCTATACCCAAAGGTGGGATATCAAGACATTACAAAAAAAAAATGGCTCCAGCGGGAGCGTGTGTCTACTGCTTTTTTTGGCTACCTATAACTCATAACCAATCCACTCTTTCTGTGTTGGCAATTCACTTGAATAATTGTACAAGTGACAAATTGTTGACTTTTTATTTCTTTTATAGGACAGGTCTTATCTAGGCACGGCATCATATTTTGTAGGCTTACCATATAAGACTTCATTTCTATCTTTAGATTATGAGGCATCCCATAATTCCTCAAACCCGATTTGCTCTCACAACTTACAAGTGAGACAATAGCTAAGTGTCTACAGCCCCCTGGGGCTACTTCGCACCATCGTACATGAGCCTGACATGCATGCGGGACCCCGGAAGACAAAATGCAATAGCGGCGCCAATAAAAAGCCCCACACTTTCTAATTCGATATGTCTATGAGAATTCAAAAACATTTTTTGGCAAACTACAATATTTTAATGGAAAGAAACCACTTACCCAATTTTACAAACTTCCATGTTCTGACTAGGTTCTGGCAACTGTTTAATCAAATTGTTTGACAAATTCAAATGTTGTATACTTGGGGAGCACCATAGCAACTCCGATGGAATGCTCTGCAGGTTATTCTTAGACAGGTCAACATTTCCAAGCTGATCATTGTATTGTGGCTGATTTAAAAACTTCAGACTGACCACTGGTAACCTTTTACTACTCCAATGTGCTGTAAGTTTCTGAAAGATATATTTAAAAAAAACCAAAGAAATTTTTTATTAACTTCTAACTGAAAAATAGAGTAATATCCCTAGTCAATTAACAGATGATTCCTAGTATTTGTATCAGCAAAATTTTTGGAGTAAAAGGTCTGTACCAGGCATGGGGTAATTGTAATTTGTAATTGTAATCAATTGTAATCATTACATTTTTAATAATGTAATTGGGTGTATGTAATTTGCTTCAAAATGTAATTTGTAATTGTAATGTATTTGTAATTTGAAAAATGTAATTTTGCAATTACATTTGATTACATTTCCATACTGTTTGTGTTTATAAAGATCTCAAATTGACATCCACTGGATGGCAGAAAACTCACACTTTATTGTTTATTCAGAAATAGCTGTTGTCAACAGTTTATCCATGGACGAAAGAACCAAATTTTCCCAATGGTTGTTATTTCACATAAACCAAGGAATTGTTGATTTGCTTTAAATAATATGCACTATTATAAACAATTTTCCCCTGCTGAATTTTAGAGAATTCCATGATTCTAGGTGTATCTTCCCCTAACTACCAGCCGGTGTGTCAGTGTATAGCAATGAAGTCAAAATGCTAGAATGACCCCCCCCCCCAGTTTAGACAAGTATAATCGTTCCTAGCACTCTCAGAAATACCCTGAGACGGGTATACTCGACGCTGGAGCGCGCACGTGTTAAAAAATGGGGAGAAAGGAGCAGGAAATTAAAAAACAAAAAAAGTCCTATATGGATTCCACTTGGCCAACAGTTAGTTTAAACAGTTAGGGTTTGTTTATTTATACGATACATTATACTATTATGTCTTTACATTTTAGGCTTATATTTGTTTACTTTTTATTCAAATTATTTACAACTTACAGAAAGAAATTGTACTCTAATACAAAAGCCAATGGTATTATTACTGTGTATCTATTCCATAAACCATTCAAATGGTCTAAGGCCCTGTTTATACTTGCAACAATAATGATAACAATAAAAAGCTAAAAAGCAATTGTTCATATATAGAAAATAAGAGAAATAAAAAGTTTTTACAAAAGGATGATTCAATAAAAATTTATTGTGTATACGATGACAAAATATTTTGACAAATCAATTAAAATGATGTAGATAAAATCGTTATTACTACTACGATTTAAATATTTTTTTTTTACTAAGATTACATTGTCATCAATTTAGCAGCAACAGTATATCTGGCGAAGAAAGTCTTAATCACTGGAATGCATTTTGACAGTACATATTTTATGGGCACAGGCTGAGGGGGGAGTGGGGGGTGGTGGTGGATTCACTCCCTAAAGTTCTGTTCTGTTTATTGTATCCTCGAAAAAAGTACAAATTGTGACCAATAAATTAAAAGAATTATTAAATCTTGTTTTATATGTATGATCAGTTATTTCAAAATAGTCAGCTAAATGGTGATGAAACATGGTTATTAAATAAATCAGAAATAAACTTAGAAACACATAATTTATGAAGCTTGTATATATTTCTAATATTTTAAGAAAATTAAATAATGGTGAAGAATGTGCTCTGAAGTGCGAAAACGTTATACATCTGACACAATTTTTTTGTGTAACTAAAAGAGATCTTAAATAAGATTCAAAGAGCTGCCCTATACCTCAATGCCATACATCAAATGAAGCTGAACAAAAGCATTGTAAAACAATATTAAGTTGACAAGTTAGTTTCACTAAGTAGGTTAAAATACTAAAAAATTTTTCATTAGAATAGAAATTTAGTTCCGCATACTAAATGTTCGCACCACCCCTCTCCCCACAAGCCAAAACCGGCGCATGTATTTTTGGATATTAGGTAGCAAATCTAAAACTGATATAGTCACTCATCAGACACTACATACATCAATACACAATATACAGCTAATCTACAGTCACATATGGCATGTACTCTGCCAAGGAAGGAAACAGACAATTTAAAGTAGCAATATAATACTGTATAAACAATACAAGACTATTAAAGAGTAGACAATAAAAACTACAATCACTTCCTACACTTGGTTTATAATTGGCCGAAACCAATGCTAGTCAAAGGCTCCTGTTGAAGATGACGTTGGACGAAGTCACATGACATATCATATTTGGTACTTATGAGGTCATATGGTGGAATTTCTAATAATTCCTAAAATTGTTCCTAAGGGGGAATTGACCGAAACCAATGCTATTTAAAGGCACCTGCAGGAGATTACGTTGGTCAAAGTCACATGACATATCACATCTTGTACTTATGAGGTCATGTGATGCCACTTCTAACAATGCCTACATTTGTTCTGAAAGGGGACGTCTTAAGGAAGGAGAAAGTATTGAAATTGAAAGTGTAGACAAACCACGATACTATGCTTCCAAAAGTAATATTGGTCTTTACTTTGAAAGATTTTAACCTCAAAATAATAAAGGGGATACAGGGTTACATAATTACATAGGCCTACTTTTCTTGTAGATACACATCAACTTTAACAAAAGATAATTGATTGTATATTACAATTTGATTGGTTAATAATAATACGGGGTCCCAAGTTGGAACAAATTTGCAGGGACAGGCTATTTTCCGTGAGATCCTTGCTTGCTCACAAAAGTGCAGGAGGCCTTCTCGATTTGCGGGAGACTATAGTTACTTGCTGGACACTCAAGACACCCACAGATATCATTTTTCCCTTATATAATTTAGTCAGATTGTGCAAAAATATATTCCAGAAGGTTAAAAAAGAATAAATATTGAATCACAAAATGTCTTGAATCATCATTTTTTCCACTTTGTGCGTAATACTTTTTTCAAATAAATGAACTTTGTATACAGTACTTGAAAAAGGGTGTCATCATTAAATTATCTATCATAATAAAATGATCTTTGACCAGTACTAAATTAATTTGACATCTATAATAATGTCCAAAGTTCACAAAAACAGAATTGCTGTATATTTTTTAGATTTACTATATTTTCAAGTAAATAAATGCTATGCTTCTGTTTCCTGTTCTCTCTATATTGGTTTTGGTGAGAACTTGGGAAAAACACAGTGCTAAACAGGTTTGTATTTTACTGCTTGTTGACTTGGTTAATATATGTCTACAACTTTAATAATTAAATGCAATTCAAATCTATTTTACTATTTTGCCTATTTTGTTTTAAGTAGGAGTTTACAATAAATGAAGCCTCCAGGGAGCTGTGTTGTTCTAGATTGCTTTCAAAAGACTTAAAACAAGGTGTGGTTTTTGCTTGGTTTTGGTCTAAAGTGCTCTAATAATAATCCTAGTTTTACCACCCTGATTATTTCCACCACATGTCATCACTAGTAGCACAGAAGATCAACTAAGACTAACCTACTCATTAATGTAAATCACGTTAAATGTTACAAATAAATTGATTAATTTAGGAGAGTTATCAATCATTTATAATCTAATTCAGGAAATTACCGTAGGACGGTCATCAAAGTGAGTCAGAAAATATTAATAGGAACATGTGTTCTGTCAGGAGCAACTTTTCTTATGAACTATATTTTCACAATTTCTTAAAAGGAGGAAAATCAAACTAAAATTTTGATACTTTTTTTATGTTATAGCAAAATGGTTCTCCCAGAAAAATCTATGTGGAAAAGAAAATATGAAAATAACATCTATATTAGCAGGTTCACTAAAACAGGCCAAATATATCATAAAATATCATAAATTATATTTATCAGCAGATGGTGTGTCCACAAAAACAATCGGTATAATACAATTTTTTTCCAGATGGAAAGTATTAATGTAATTGTTCATGACATTTTAGATGCATTGAAGAGTACTTACCTAGACCCCTGATTTATCTCCACTTATTTTTCCAGTATTTAGGTAGGGGTGATATGCTTTCCCGAGTACTTTAAGCTGGAGTAGATAGCTTTCATATCTCCAAATCCAGGACAAAGCGTGAGAAGGAATGGTGTGAGATGGGCTACTCCCTAATATTGAAGGTTCATGGGCGTGGGCCTTAGATACATTTTTGCCATTTAATTGTTATTATTATTATTATTATTATTATTATTTATATCATTTTATAGCGCCTTTTCTTTGTAAGTACAAAGCGCTTCTTTTCCCTGGTCATTGGGTCCACGTGCTTAAATGTTGCTGCTGATACTCGGTGAAGGAGCAGGCAACACAAGGACACAAGCGAAATGTACAGGTATTTTATACTTTCTAAATTATTTCATGTTTGGTTAGGATTCTTTTCTCTGTTGCCGGGATGGGGGAGAAGGGCTTCTATCTCTATAGTTGAAAGTTTAGTGAAGTTTCAAAAATTCCTAATTCTTGAGTGTCATTCAGAGATAAAATATCAATGTAAATAAAACAATTGTGTCTTTTGTGTTTTTTCACAAATATACAGCAATTTAATACATAACGACTGCTTTGAAAGCACTTTACATATGTTTTCAGAAGTGTTTCCTGCCAAACTCCATAGTGTGATTTAACTAAGCAAGCAATTATAAGTCATTTTTTGGTATGTATGTGTACTGGCATTGTGCCAAATTACTTACTTTTCTAGACTATATATTATAAAAAGCCGCAATTGCTCGTCATTCCGGTTTCGATGTATTAAAAGATTGATATTTAACTTACAAATGCCTTAAGTCTCTTGAGCGAGCAATTGTGGCTATCGGAGATATTCGCCCATTACTGAACCTATATTTTGTGTCAGGCTAGCGCAAAATCCGGTGATCATCGGTAAACCCGGAAGTAGACCTAGGCCTAGCTATCTGTCGTCATACTCGTGTTTATATTGAACTATCCTCCTAACTGCATGTTGAGCCTGGCGGCGTACATTTTTATTGTTACAACGTCAATAATTTTATTAATATTTTATTATTATAATTAAGCCTAGGCCCTTATCTTAGTTGGCCTGCCCAAGTAAGGGTTGTTTCATTTGTCACCTAAATCCCTTTTTATTTTTTTTCGTTGTGATCGCAATTTAGTGATGATGCATACAGTTAGGAAATTGAGCCCAATCAACACCTATGGCTAAAACTGTTTTTTTTTTTTTTTTTTTTTTTTTTTTATCTATTTCAGGTTAAAGTCAGAAAATGAAGACCAGTGAATTTTATAAGGAGGCTGAAAATGGGCAGAGATGAAAAAGTGAGAGGTTGACTCTACAGGTCATTATTTTTACTCCATTGCGCTGCTTTCTTGTCTCCTTCTCAATCAAAATAAGATTAGATGTAATTTATAATAAATTGTAATGATTTTTCAAATTTTATGAACTTAATCAAAACCCAGGAATCATGCTTTATCATTTCCACTTTTTTTTCCTGTTAATTTTTACATCATAAATTCAATAAATACTGTAACAATAAAATAGCGTACAGAAGAGGAGTACAATACTACAGCAACATAAACTACTACCTCCTTGCATAAAAACACCATCACAAATATACTGTACTGTCACAAGTATGTTTAACAGTGAACACAGGCATATAGGGCCTTATATAATTTAATTTTTAAAAATAATATTATGGATACATGATTAACAGTCCTAGCGAGTATATCTGCCGACTGTACATGTATTACGATAACCCCAGAGAGGTGCGCAACTCTAGTACTCTAGGTCTCTAGGATAAATGGAAAAAGCATTTGCAACAAACGTCCATGCTTTGTCGCATGTAGGGGCTGGAGCCTCCCAACAGTACCGTACTAGGCAATATATGGGGCTAGGCTATACCTGATCGAGAGTGACAGGCGTACACGTTACGTCCACCATCCTTGTATCTAGGCCTGAATCCATATCAAACTGTTGATAGTCAAAATATTGATACTCTAGATTTACCGTTTGATTGGTATTTTAAAATTGAATAGACCGTTAGCCATCGAGCATAAAATATTAAAACAATCGTCATGATGTAGGCCAAGGCCAGTCCCCATTTATTGTTTCTGCAACATTTAGGTGGTGTAAACTGTTTCCTGGTATGATGATGGTATAATACAACGTCGATAACCATGAGAACAAGGAGCATGCGCAAAGCAATTGTAATTAGTTGTAAATTGTTGATAATGATAAGAGCGGTGGTACTGCGGGTTATAAACTTTGATGTTCGGTTCGAGATGTTTCCATGTAATTTTACTGTTCCCTGGTATAACCATGGAGGAATTAGTTATAACTATTATTCCTCCATTGTATAATCATGGTATAAAATTACTGATTTATAATTGGTTTGGCTGAAGATAAGTAGTTTATTTTCATACTTCATGAAAATTATATAATCAAAATATAAAAAGATATTTAAAATAACAAACAAAAGTTGAATAGTTCAACAGTCCATTTGTCTAGGGTGGGATTTGAGCTCCGGAACAAAGCTATCATAAAACAATTATACTTTTTTTATGTTTAGCTGTTTTTCCATTCAATTCTTTTTGTTTTGGTTTGTTACTGATATTAGTTTCTGTTTTAAAGTTTGGGTTTTTTTTGACATAGGGTAAAAAAGAATTATTCAACACACCTCACTATATACACTGAACTTTAGACCAATCTAAAATTATAGGTATATTTCCATGAAAAGTGAAGAGGAAAATATGAGTGTACATAATATAGTATGACAAGATAATTAATCAGACTCGATAACTGCAGGCAATAAGTGTGAACCCTCCGAAACTTTCATACTACACTATAAACACGAGGTAAAAGGAAATAAGTCATTTCCAGCATACACACACACATGACACAGAATATGTCATGAACAATACTTAAGTAGGTTCTATTATTAAATTGCTTACACCTGTTTTGGTCGTCTTCATACCAACTGTGTGGGAGTCATGCATGGTTGGTTACGATCCTTGACACAGTGTTGGGGGAGGGGAGTTGGGCAGAATCCTAAAATATTGCATTAATGACGTTTTTAACAACAAGCATGTTTACTATGACATTTTATTATATTATGTAATGTTCATACTATAATTATATTGGGTCCTCTTCAGTAAATAATTTAAAAAAAAACACATTTCATGATGTGAATGATTAAAATTGAATAAAATAAAAAAAGATATTTTACGGTAAAAATAAATGTACGATTCCTGTATTGAAATCAACAAGAAACTTAAGAGTAGACCTCTTGGGACCCACATTATATTATGTAATGTTCATAATTATATTGGGTCCTCTTCAGTAAATAATTAAAAAAAACCACATTTCATGATGTGAATGATTAAAATTGAATAAAATAAAAAAAGATATTCTATGGTAAAAATAAATATACCATTGAAATCAACAAGAAACTTAAGATTAGATTAAAAATATGATTTGGCCTAAATTTATAGGAAATCCCAGAGAGAACACGTTACTATGGCTACATCAACGACCCACACCACGAAACAGGATCTGGTTTCCTGGTTTCCATGACCATACGAGTGATGATGATGTTACACACCACAGCTGTTATTGTACTGTACTGCAATTTTGAGCAACCCATGTCTTGCACTAGTCAGTATAGACTGGGTGATAATTTCCTAACCTTCCTCTATAATACTGAGTTGTGTTTTGGAAAACATGTGCTATCTATCACGCACATGGCAACAACAATGAATATATATAATGGTATTTATTCAATCATAATAAAAATCATAAAACATGGCAGCCAAGAGGTTGAATTATGAATTACGTTAACATCAAACATCAAAAAGTCTTAACTAAAAAAACAATATTTCAATACAAACAACTCTTGCTTCAAAGTTAGGCGGGGCTGTCTCCAGGAAATAACAATTGAGTTGGTCTTATATAAACTGATCAATCTTGATAAAGGAATACAGACAGGGGAACAATGCTTATGTATTCACTGGTATCAAGAAAACTTGAACACCATAAACATTAAGAAATACATAAATAGAACCATCAGTACTCACATCTGTGTTTTCATCTTTTTCCACTGAGCTTGCTAGAATGGCTGCTATGCAATCTGCATAACGTTCCACATCCTTTTCAGTGATTTTAACACTTTCAAAAAGATGATGTAAAATTACTTCATTATCATCTGTATATAGAAGAGGAAAATGACACAATCAGAAAGATATTCATTCATGGAATTAGATTTTTGGTCCAAGGAGTTATGTGGAAGAAGAAACTAAAGCCTCCCCAAAGCCAGCAACACTACTGTTACCATGATAATAAAGGTATGACCACAATGACAATAACATACAGAAAACATAAAGAAAAACAAGAACCCCCCTAAGCATTAAGTCCCTTGGTAACCATAACATTTAAACAATAAACAAAAATATAATTTCAAATAATATTGATATAATTATTTATCTGTATATAAAAATAATGTCCAACTTGTTATAGTGCATTCATGTAGATGATCATGTACTTTAAAAATTGCAAGATCAATTTATGAAAAAAGTACTGAAACTTTCTCTCAGTGGAATGGAAAACTTATAGAATCTTATCTAATAGGCCTCTTCAGACCTGGTTTTGCACAATCATAGTTAGAATACAATTCCCATGCTGGGAGAGATTTTTTGTGGAGTTATCATAAACATTCAAAAACCAAAACAAGTTTCAGTTTCTGTTAGAATGATTATTTGGTTCTTACTACTTCAATGATCCAACCACATCCAATCAAAACTAGTGTAAGGGTAATTCCACACTGCCTATATTTATAGAAAGTTTCTCAAAACAATGAAGTTGGAATTTAGTCTGAAGCCAACCATACAACCACGTGAGGGATAATGTAGAGTAAAGTACCTACTGATACCACACAAATTTTCAAAGAAATCAATAAATTGGCAAAGGGTTCTTAGTTGCAGGATGTGTCTGTAAATTTCATTTTGATTTTTTTGGTGTGTAAAAAAAACATCAATGATCATAAAACCTATTTCCAGTGGGTCCTTCTGGAGGTCAACTGGGCAGTGGCAAATATTTTATACCTTGTTTAACGAAAATTGTATTTTAATTCTCTTCTCTGTCTGGATGTTTTGGCAAAAGCTAACTAAGAAAACAAAATTTTATTTTCATTTTTTTCAGCCCTCCTCTGACCTAAAAAAGTTTAAGTTTGCGAAACAAGGTATAAAAAAGTCTCGCATAAAGCTACATTTACAGTAGACAGTGTTGAAGAATATAAACGATGCAACGATATGTCGTTGTCGTGTCATTACTGTGTCTGTGTAAACATAGCTTTAACCGTTCAATTTTAACTTTTGAATTGTGTTGCGCGAGGGGGGGTAAGTTTGGGAGGGGGTGTCACCCTCCCTACATAGGAAGAAATGAAAAATAATATATTGAATTGTTGAAACAGTGTTGAATTTTAACTTTTGAATTGTGTTGCAATGTTTGAATTTAGAATCTATTAAACACTATTTTATAGAAAAAATCCAACAGTCAAACACTGTTGTGTAAAATTTAATTTTCAATAACAATAAATAATGATAGCACATCATACAATGATTGTAGTGTAATAATGTATTTCCTTCACACTGTTTCCTTTGAAAGGATTTACATTCAATTAGTTGATTTGCCATCACTTCGAATAGAAATTCCTGTTTTTAAAAGTACTAGCTTGGTCAAGGAATATCATGATTTATGACGTTAGATTGTGTATTGAAAAATTAAATTATTGATTCTAAGGGCTTCACTAGGCCCAGGCCATGATGAGCTTAGGTTTCAGGCCACTGACATTTATTTTTACCTCCGGCGTTCTAATAGCCGGCGCAAAAATCATAATAGACAGGGATTGCATCGCCTGTTTCCTTCACAGTGTTTCTTTTGAAAGGATTTACATTCAATTAGTTGATTTGCTGTCACTTTGAATAGAAATTCCTGTTTTTAAAGGTACTAGCTTGGTCAAGGAATATCATGATTTATGACGTTAGATTCTGTATTGAAAAATCAAAGTATTGATTCTAAGGGCTTGGCTAGGCCCAGGCCATGATGAGCTTAGGTTTCAGTCCACTGATATTTATTTTTACCTCCGGCGTTCTAATAGCAGGCGCAAAAATCATAATAGACAGGGATCGCATCGCCTGCTGGCTTAAAGTGACATTGCCGTATTATACTCAAGAGAAAAATGAAAAAAAAAACTGAAATATATAATTACATTTTCCCGGTATTAATTTGCCTTTTTATCTTCCATTTATATTTCCTTCAGTTAAGTTTATTTATGTCCAGGGAATGGCTACCCTGTTTTCACAAATTGTGTTTTACATGTATTAAGTTTGAATGGGGAGATTGTTCCAGGGTTGTACGTTTTTAAACAAGCAAATTTCCAGGACATTACAGGTCAAATTTTCCAAATTTCAAGGACACATTATATCGCTTAACAGTAAAATATTGGCAATTTTACGATTGATTATAAAACATGTATGCTGTACTAATTTTAAATGCATGGTAGTTGAGTGTATATTAAAGTCTATTTTGTTGGTTTTAATGATTTTGATTTTTATAGTTTTACTGTGGATGCACCACTGATGTGATGTGTGCTGCGTTTTCCAATAAATATTATTATTCTTCTTATCTACAATACTCTTAAATGCAAAGTTTAAAAACATAATTATACACACCTCGTTCAAAAAAATGTGTATAGTCCTGAAATAAAAGATTCTTTGAAACACAAAATTGTTTATGGTTTTATATTTATATAGCGCCTTCCATGATCGAAACCGTCTCAAGGCGCTTGAAAAATATATGTGAAAATGTATGGAAATAAATTTGACCGGAAATAACCTAAACTAACCAAACAGAATAACCGACAAAACAGATAAAAAATAGAATCACACATCATCACACCCCGATATTTCGAACCGCTGAAGATGGAACAATCGAGGAGTCGCAGATGTTAATGTTTTCGATAACAGGCAGTCTTTTAAGGTGCTTAGAGTGGATGAACAATACCTTGGTTTTATTGGGATTAAAACTAAGCATGTTGTCTGCTAACCAAACCTGAACGTCCCTCACACAAGCTTCAATAACCGTTTAATGACTATATTTTTAAGTGAAAAAAAACCAATATTAGATATTTAATAATTATTTTTCTAGTATTTAACTTTAACTGCATTTCTATTAGTTAATGCTTACTTTGTTCAATATCTGGAAGATTAACAGTAACTCCAAGTGATTCCTTCGCATATTCTGTCCAAAATTTCACCATGTCACGTTGACTTCCAAGAGCTGACACAAACATGTAGTGGTAAACATCAGATTCAGACTCCACATCAACTGCAAATAGAATATCAAAGTTTAAACATACCGTAAATGCTCGAATAAGCACCGTTCTCGAATAAGCGCCGCACCAAACCCAATTTTTTCGCTAAGCACCACTCTCGAATTAGCGTCGCAGGAGCACTTAATTTTCGAGTGAATAAGCACCTGTGTGCAATGAAACACTTTAAGAAATATAGTAATAAATACAATGTATACAGCGTTCAAATAAATAAATAACACAATGAAGACACAAGCATATCCTTATAAACGTTCATTTACGATGATGTAGGGTCAATAACAGGCCTACCGAACTATGGGAATATGTTAGATTGGCACCAATAGGAACAACAGAAAGCGCCACGCCAATATTTTTTTAATAAGCTCTTCTCTCAAATAACTTAGGTGCCGCACTAAAGCCTCCAAAAATGTTATTCAAGCATTTACGGTACTTATAAAATTAATTCTTATAACATAAATACAAATAAATATCACTACTGTACAATCACCAGAAACTTCTATCATTTGGTGACTTGAAATTAATTAAGCTTTACTAAATTCTAAATAAAAAGTGTGATTATGTTCAAAGAAGTAAATCTACTGTATGATAAAAAAAAATGTTTACTTTAACTGAACAACACAACACACTTAACTCAATGCTCTTGCTTTTCTAATGAGTATTGTTTTAGTTTTAAAGATACAATGATTTTGATCTGTGTAGGCATATTTAAAAGGTGATAACACCAAAATATCCCTTAATTAATTTAATTAAACTGAAAGTCATCCTTACTATCAGGGAAGCAATGAAGTAGAATATCTGTAAAATATAGTTTTTTAAAAATTAACTATTTGGGATTAAATTATCTATCATTGTAAAATTGATACAAACCATAATCCTGAAGTGACGCCAACTTCAAGAGGTTATTTACAACTTGCTGGTGCCCGTAATATGAGGCAATTTCAAGTGGCGTTCCCTACAAGAGTAAAATCAAAACTATAGTACAAACCGTTTGGGAAAATAATTTAATGTTACATATTTTTACTACTGAATCTTTAATCCTATGACACTAATTTCTATTATTAAGGCAAGACTTTTTTATTCCTTGTTTCGCTTACTTATTTTTTTAAAGATTATCGGGGTGGGGGGGGCAGGAAGAATAAAAATAAAAATTGTTTTGTTTTCTTTTTTAGCAAATAGTTTTGCCAAAATCAAGATGGAGGAGAAAATAAAAATAAATTTTATTAGTGAATGTAAAATAGGATGGTTAAATGCTTTAAATTTATATACTTAGGAAGAAATATGTATCTTATCTTTGGAGATTTCAAGGCAGTGGAGGGCATAATAAAAATAAAGAAAAACGTTTATTTTTTCTGAAATTTCCACTTTCTTGTGGCGGTGGATGTGCGCTAATTGGCCAAAAATAATATCTTATTTTTATTCGAAATCATCAATAATTCCAGTCGGCGGGTTTGTTTAAAAGGTATAAAAAGAGTCTTGACTTAACTTACAGTAATTGAATTATTTATTTTTGCTTGTGGTTTAATACAAGGTGATGCATTGCCAAAAGTATTAGCATATCAATCATTAATATATCTGAGACAAAATCTTGTTCATACATTATCATTCCACTAATTAACAATCTTATTTCACATATTCAATCTTAACTACGAATCTGTTGATGTCTTTATTAAAATTCTTTCTTAAAAAGAGGCAACATGTAATGATTGATAGAGAATAACTCACCATTTTGCCTTCATGTTGCAAGCGTGCGCCATATTCATAAAGCAACAGAACAAATTCCTGATTCCCTTTCGCACATGCTTTATGAAGCAGTTCTAAAGCAGATGCTGGTGTTGGCACTACTGGAGAATCTAGCACAGTCTCATCCTTAATCCGCTCATAATCTGGAAAAGTACTCCGGAGGACACAAAATTTTCTTTCGCTTTCCAAATCTTTGAGTAGATGGTGAGCAGAACGATTGTCACCCTCCTCAATAAATTTCTCTAACTTTTCCACCACCTCTGTATTTATAAGAAAATTATTTAGATTAATTTAAGATAATCATTTTTTCTTTTGTATCAGGTGTGCATATTGTTATTACAGTAGTTAAGTTATATTCATTAACATTTCAACAATAATAACTTGTGTTTCTGTTTTCATTTGAAGTGGGCCATTAGAATGTCATATCCCTTCCTTAATCCAGTAACCAAGAAAAGTTACCATGGTTTGCTCTTTCAAGTGAATTCTTCTCCAACAAACCACTCTCTTTGCCTTACAAACTACCAATATAAAATTCACCATTTACAATGCTACAGTAAAATACAGTATTTCAGCTCCAGGAGTTTTCGCCCGAATCCTACCAGAGCTGTTTTGTTAAATATGAAAGTACAAATAATGACTATGAGTAAAATCATTATATGATGACTTTCGGCACTTCAATTATTTATAAATAACGTTTTGCTACTTTAAAATTTAAATTATTTATAAATAATGAAAATCGCTCCACCAATTATTTATATATAATTAGTAGAGGCAAAACTATCTATATGTATACAATGAACAGATGTAGAATTATATATTAAACAATGAATTATTTATATGTACAGTAATGAAAGTACATTTGGCGCCTCATACCATACAGACCAAATGACTGATCAGACACAAAAGGTGGATAAGTGAAAAGGTAGTGTTCAATGCACAATATCAGGTTGTCATAGAAAAAAATGTGTCTCTTTGTGATGTCGGTGACAATTTGGGCAGGCTAATGTTGTGAAGGTAAACAAAGTGCGAGAGTATATAAAATAAACAACAATGCATAAGTTGTTGTCTCTCTCAGCCGTTATGATCAAATTTCATATATGAGAGATCAGGAAGAGAAGTACATTGTCAGTTCGATCAATTTTGTTTGTCACATTTACTAATAATATTCAATATTATTATTAATAACTTTATTTCATAAAGCACAAACAATATCCATTTAAAATGTCCATGGTGCTGTAAAGAATATAAAAAATAGAAAGTTACACAAAAAATATCAGTAGGCCTATATATAAATATCCAATAAAAGTTAAATATAAAATGGGACATTAAAAAGCATTAAAATTCAATTAAACACATCAAAACCCTGGAGTGCATAAATCATAACATAATAATGTTAAAAATTGATGTGACATAATTTGAAAGAGAACAATTAAACACTTAACAAATATCTTTGGATTCTTAAAAAAAAGCAAAACACAAGACAAGATCACCAAACCGTAACAAAATTTACATAAAAAAATTAAGAAAGTAAAGATGCTATGCCGATAAAACCACAGTACATCATGTATCTTGGAGTAATTAATTCAAGTAAGTAAAATGCAATTCCAATTAAAACTATAGTACATCATGTTGGAGTAATGCATAAAAAAAGGCAGATGAGGACATGTTATGCATTCAATTTGTTTATATTATCGAAAGGATGTTATGCATTTATACATCCTACAAGGAATATCAATGGATGCCTATATTAAAACAATGAGAATAGAAGCCACAAGATATCTCCACATTGAAGCGGGTTGAAGCTGTGACACCTGGTGTCAGTAACAGGCAAGGCCACACCAGACAGTTTGCGACCCAAGCACAGAAGAATTTACAGTACTCTTCCCAAATATTCAAAATACCCAGTGAGGCGTATTTTGGAGAAAAACAAAAGTACCGTAAATGCTTTGAATAAGCACTTTTCTCAAATAACACTGCTCTTGAATAATGAAACACTTTGAGAAACAGAGCCTGTTTAAATACAATGTATACAGTGTTAAAATGAATTAACACAATGAAGACACAAGCATTTCTTAAACGTTTATTTACGATGACATAGGACCTATGATATATAGGCCTACTCAACTACTGGAATACAGGAGATAGTTAACGTGGGAAAACAGGCATGGAAAGTGCTCGCCAATATATTTTTATAAGCGCCGATCTTGAATAAGCACCGCACTGAAGCCTCCAAAAATTGGACGTTTATTCCAGCGTTTACGGTACTGCACCAAGCATATCTATTACAGATTGGTATTAAAAATATCTATAAGTTGTTGAACCTTGAATCGTGATTGAATGCTCTGTCTGATAACTGAATGTTTTGGTTCATTGACGGTACCAAAGGTTCTAACCCTCCCGAGTCGATCGGGAGTTTCCCGAATTTACATGAAATTAAAAATTAAATTTGGTCTCCCAAATTTGTTCAAGTTCTCCCAAATTTCAAAATCTAGGCCTAGATTTTCCTCATTTAACGTACCACCAGTTAAAAAACATGGGATTCGCATGATAAAATATTTGAAATTACTAGGCCACATAAATGAAAATCCAATAGATATCTTATAAATTACGTTTATAAACCACGAAAGATGTTAATGTTCTCAAAATATGTTGATGTTGAGGGGGCTTTTCACTAATTGGTGGGTTTACTGTAGGAGCGCCCTTCACCTGCAAATTCTTCCATTGGTGGTGAACCTTGCAGAATTGAATGATTGGTTTAGTATATCTGCTGTTTGAACGCCATTGAACATATCAGGCCCGTAGCCAGGGGGGGGGGGGTTTATGGTTCGGGCAAACCCCCCTTTTCTAGCGAACCCCCCTGTTTTCTAGCAAACCCCCTTGAATTTTTCAATGAGTCACACCCGTTTTTAAATTGTAGCCTGCATTACAAGCCTACATTCATAGAATATCTCAGCTTCAGAAGTTCGGAGATTTTAGAACGCAATTCCAGCAAACCATGACTTTACGATGGCACACATCAGGATGGCAAACATCGATAAAAACCCGGCTGCCGTCTCAACTTTCACTGGCCTTTGGCTGAATGTTTGTAAGAAATGTACCAACCGGTAACGAAACCGGTCGCCAACTACCTAGAGTAAATGGTGCCACCAAACGAAGCAAAAGTTTTGCTACTTAATCACCTAAATGGGGATTGTGTGGTTTGTAAATTCCAAAGCCATACTGTGCATAGCACACACTAAACTATGTGCTGATGGAGCATTTTGGGGAAATGGACTCTCCTTTTTTCATCCCAAACAAACAGTCATCATAGCCAGTCACAAAATTAGGCTAGGAAGTTTGTTTTCAACAGCAGACACACTAGAGAATGGAGTGCGTCAAAATGAGTGTTTGTTAATGTTTAGTGATAAAGAATCATGAAACGTTGTAGAATAACTGACTTTTTTGGTCCGATGTTGCAAAGAAGAAAACCACAGATAGTCCTGGTGGGTTATTGATTTTAAAATCAATTAGCCTAGCTTAGATGTTGACTAGCTAGGTTCGCTCCTCGTTCATTTAGATACAGAATTATACCCCGACGACAACAAACTAGTGTAGGCCTAAGTACAGTAGAACGTACTACAGGTAGGCCTACTAGGCTTTTGTTATAAAAGTTGAAGTGCATGTACAGGATGCGCCATAGGCCTATATTTAAAAAAATACATTTTGTTAATTATTATTGGTTGGCCTGGGACGGACCTATAGGCAGGCAGGCCAGCTTTGCTGTCGGAAATCCTGGGATTCGACGATGACGTCCGTGCATGTTTACAAACGCCATTGATTAGAATGAAAATAGACGCGCTGAATTTCGTTTTTTTTTTTTTTTTTTTTTTTTTATGAAAGAAAGAATGTATCGAACATTTATCTACATAAAAACAAGAATAATATTGTAGAAATTGTATTTCTAAAGATGCATATAAGTCATATTTCATTTTGTAGACAATAAATATTCAGTAAGATACACTAAAAACGATTATTAATTCTGAAATGTGCATCTCAGCTATTATTAATCAGTAGGCTATGTATTATGTTATAAAGTCTTAAAATAATAATTTCGAATTATGCTATATTTTGGGCTCTGACTTAATTTAACGATGGCCCTCTCAGTAGCAATGACAGTATTTGTGCTTTTTTTAGCCATGTAGTAAAATAGTACTATTATTCAGGAGTCAAGAAGAAGTAGTAGAAGAAGAAGAAGAGGAGGAAAAAGAAGAATAGCTTTTTTTTTTGGTTTTATAATAATAATCGTGTTGAGTATATTGATATTGATTATGCGATGAGCTTTCTTTATATATCTTTTTTATATATCAAACTGCTTTTATAACATTATTATAGACCCATTAAACACAAACTGCTCTGGCTTCGGGGGCTTCGCCCCGACTCCACCGTCGCCCCAGGCACCTGAACTCCACCAGAGGTGACGCCAGCGGGGGGGGAAGGGCCCCCGTCGGGGAGAGCCTCCCCCCCCATCGGGGGTAGAAAAAGCACAATTCGTCGGGGAGAAAAAAAAATTATATGTATTTTTTACATATTAGTAGGCTCTAATATCGATTTAATAAGCCTTTGAAACCCCTGAATTGTCAAAATTTTCAGTTGCTTCACCCCCAGGACCACTTTTGGAACCTATTAATTGAAGCTCGACCACGCCCACTTTGCTTTCGTTGGGGAAATCTGGCTCCTCGTCGGGGAACCGCCCCCCCACCCCGGTCGGAGATCTGTGTAGCTAAGGACCATTAAATGGCTGCCAAATTCAAGTCAATTCAATTATTTTCCAGGACAATTAATTTCATTTTCATTTTATTTGTTTATTCGACCAATGCACACAACAATAGGTACAAGATTATACGGTCTGGCTGGGCAGCTTTAGCAAAATTTCACTATTGGGTGTGAGTTTTCCCACAAGTTACTATACATATTAATTAACTTTATTTATGGTACAAACAAGACTTTATAACATTAACAAAGAAAATCATAGAGCAGAAAGAAGCTTGTCTAGGCCAAGGGGCCATCTCAGAAGTAGAGGGCTGCTTATAGTTAAAAAAAGAAGGCTATTTTTGATACTTTTGCTAATACTATAAATACTTTAAGTAGAGCATAAATTTTCAGATACACCTAAAAAAAAATTAGTAGTGTAAGTACGCATATAGGCCAGGCTAGACCTGTTTACTAGTTAGTTGCCTACCGACAAAATATAAAATTTGTTCAAAAGATAAAAGTAAACTCTAATAAAACTACTCACCCAACACCTACATCCATGGATCGTGTTGGCGAACGGAAATTTATTATCGTGAACATGCCACCCAGGATAAAGAAGAATATTAAATAAGCTGAATGATATTGCAATATTCATACCTTCGATTTGAGCTACAATGTGACTTTCTTCAAACGACATTCTGAACGTTTGCTAAGCTTGATATATTACTCTCCTTAGACAACTTAGACGTCCACAACCCATGACTCAGAGAGAGAGAGCGAGGGCTTAGTGTGTTTTCCCACCTCGGTTCATATCCCAAACACACTAAAACATTGCATTGTTTCCCTGTAAAATCAACTAGAGTGCCTTAGTAATGGTTGCCAACAGGAAGAATTCACCGAACAGCCGTTGTCATCAGTAGGGAAGTGAAGTAAGTAATAATAACTCCCCGATATTGGTTATATCAGCTCCTGCACGGAAGATACCGCTCCAACCATCAATCAATCCAATCTAGCAGGGACAGCATGGATGGATAGATATGTACTTCTTCCGGGAAATCCCCTTGGACGAGTCCATTTTATCACCTGAGTGAAATTATATGTGCTTAAAATAAATTATATATATAGGTCCATAATAGAATGATTTAAACATTTAGTTATGGGAAATAAAAACAATTCATTCTATTTATTTGTTTGTGTGTGTATATGTTTATTAAACTAAAATCATAACAAATAAATAATAATGCGTTGTCACTTTTCGTATAAAGAAAATGAATTCGTCTAGTGTAGGCCTAGGTCCTAGAAAGTGACCTGGAATGAGAAAACTGGTCGCGACAAGAACTTTTTAGGCCTGCCCTAGTGCCTGCTACTGTATGATCTTCAAAAACATCGAATTGCCAACACGCTGGGTAAAGATATTTGATTCTAAGTTGTCCCTTATAAACAGGCGTAATAATAATAGAACTACTCTATCAGTAGTTTGTTGCCCTGCCTGTATCATGTTTGTATATATATTTAGGCACTTAGGTAGGAGCCTTAGGCCTACCCTAGGCCCTAGCCTAGGGCCAGGTCTCTCTAGTAGGCCTAGGACCTAGCTAGGTCTACTAGTAGTAGCCTAGTTCTAGGCCTAGTGGCAGGTAGTTTTTATAGTGGCGGTAGTAAGTAGTATTGTAGCAGGGCTAGAGAACATGGCTAGGCCCTACTCCTAGATCTAGGTAGGCCTGGTGGCGATCTCGACTATCTTGAAAAATGCCACTTGGCTTGAACGAGGTCTGTACACCACCTAGCCAGACCATCAGGGGAGGGGATAACGAAGGCTAGGAACCGGGCCCTTTCTAGCCTAAGCCTTTATAAATGCATAAACCATCTTTTTTATTTGTAATTTAGTCACTTGTTTTAGAATTAAAGTTCCTATTTGCCATTATAATATTAGTGTTTTTTGCGATGTTTTTTTTTTAAAGTCAACATTTGGAAGGGGGGATTTGTTTCAAAAAATCATTGCAATGTAGGCCTAGTCTTCCACATGGTAGTCCTTTTCTATAGAACCCATGGGACACGTTTTGGAAAACTTTTTTGATGAAAGCATTTTTATTATTTTAAAGTTTGGGAATGTCATCTATGAGCATTAGATTTAGAGTACTGATTCTTTAAATTTGCTCATATTTTATTATTACTGTCCAAGCCATCGATTTTCTTTTTGTATTTTTTAGATGGTCACAGTACAATGGAAAAGAGAAAGAAAGAAAGTGAGCCATCCACCAGTGGATGTGGTACCAAAAGACTTAAACGAGACAGCACTGAGACTAACACGTGTGCAAACGGAGGGCCCATTCAACAGACTATTCCTCAAATGTTTTTTTCTCAGAAGCCAGTCCAGAAAGTGGTATGTCCAGTGTGTGCAGCTAAATTATCAGTTACCATTATTAATGATCATCTAGATAATCTGTGCCTTGTCAAGGAATGCCAGGAGGATGATGAGAAAGATATTGCAGTAGATAAACCAGAAGATAATGCTGTTGCATCTGGGTATGCAAGCACCAGCAGTTTTTGCAAAGAAGACACAAAAAAGACGTACTCAAAAGGTGAATGTGAGGGGAAAAACAAGCAAGAATGTCAAAGTAGTAGTGTTCTATTATCAGAAGAAATGGAACTTCAAAGTACTAGAATATCAATTTCTTTACCTGAATTAAAACAGAAACCTCTTTTGAAGATAGAGTGCCAAATATATGGAGAAAATGAGAAATTTTCAACAGAAGGGGCCTTAACTTCAAAGTATTTTAACATAAAATTGTCATCACCAACTAAAAGCACATCACCTATATCATCTTCTTCAAATAGATTAGTTGAGAAGCCAACAAATCAAAGTGAAAATGAAATCTCTTCAATAAACACAGATTCATCAAATTTTATTCCAAAAAGCAAAGATAAAAATGTATACACTGAACAAAATCAACTTGAAATGAACAGAACTGCCAGTACTTCATGCCTAACTGGTGACTGTGAGACCAGTTCTTCCCAGTTTCCATCAAAAAGATTTTCTAGAATCTCTCCAGCTAAACCTGCTAAAGTTAAGATATATGCAAATCCGCTTTCTACACCACCAAGATCTCATGCATCTGCAGACAGTGTTGGTTCTGGTAGAGGGCTGAATTTGTCATCACGTGTTAAGGTAGAACTGTTTCCTGATCAAAATCAATGGGGAAAAAATGTCCAGACAAATGCAAATGCATCAGAACAATACAGCAGTATCCAGCTTGCATCGAACAACTCCCAGCGAACTTCATCTTCCTTGAATGACCAAATAAAACATTTTTCCAGGCTGACTGACAATCCAAAAAGCCAACATGACATTACTATTAAGAAGGAAGCACCATCCCAATCTAATCCCTTAGTAAAATATAAAAATATTTCTCCTGCCAAACCTGCCAAAGTCAAGATATTTTCAAGTCCTCTTTCTTCTCCACCGAGAACACAAATGATCAGAAATACCAACTGTGAAAGTATGAGCCAGAAGGTAAATGATAGCTCTTCTCATGGTGGTATTCTCAATAACAGTCAGGAATCTTTAGTTCCTTCTTCTTCAGAGTCCGGCAATACTTTCTTTTCAGGATCACATGACTCATTGTATTGTACACTAGAGACATCACCAACTGGATCTCAAGAAATGTCTTCTCAGAGTAAACTTATTAATGGAAGTCACCCAGAACCTCAGGATACATTTTCATTCCAACATGCTTCCGGCTCTAACAATTCCCAAAACTCTCAATCCTCTAGTACCTCATCAATATTTCTTACTGCAGATTCTACTGTTGACATTCCTCCTCATCAAATCATTCCTGGATTTGGCCAAGAATTCACTAGTCCAAAAAAGATAGAAACTAGAAGAAAGAGTGTGAATTCACCATACAAACATGATGGAGTTCCATACTACCTGGCTAATTTCAAACTGATAATGAATACAGTGTTGTCAAACACAGATGACAAAAGTCTTTTCAATAAATCTGATTTAGGCTTTTTTGAAGATTTTAGCAATTTGTCTGGTGAGTATTCAATTCATAATCATTTAACATAAACCTTTATTTTATACATACAGTAATAAGTGTAATAATAATCATAGTGTTGAATAAATAATGTTTTTTTTTTTTTGGACAACAATAGTATTAGTAATAATAATTTGTTAATTATCACAAATTAAAAAAATATATATAAATTAACAAATTGTATTTGTTAATTATCATTAAGTGATGTTGAAGACCAGTTTAATTGCCAACAGTGGGGCTCTTCTAAATATTGGGTAACTTCTTACTAATGCACCATTGTATGGCTGTAATTTCCTCCCTTAATCGGGTGTGCCATGTTAATGTAGAAGGCAGAAGAAGTATTCTTTAAAATTAAATGTGCTAGACAGATTTTCTGTCAAACACCTTTTAAACTTTAAAATAGTTCAGGTAAAGTGATTATATTTTATCTATATTGAATTTTAGCTCTCAATTTTGAGGATCAGTCCTTTTACTTAAATGGTCAGTCAAAGTACTGTTAATTCAATAGCTGAAAGTTTCTTGTTATTGCCATGTAGTGCCTTCTCAGCAACTGTATGTTAGACTTTACAATAGAAAACATGCATGGTTGAGGGTCAGCAAGCTGGAGTACAAAGAGATTGCCGCTGATCTTGGTCCTGCTATCACAGAGTTAATTAATGCTGGCTTTTTTATGAATGGTAAGTGATAATATTATTTGGAAATGCATTAAAAGAAACCTGTTTTGTTTTGTTCTTTCCAAAAAAATATTCTTGATTATCAATTTGTCTCAGCCAGCATTTAAGACATAAAAAAGGCTTAAGAAATACAAACATATTGACATACACAATCTGTTGGAGTTGTTGGATGAAAGACATACCTTCTTTATAACACTTGCAAACCTTTCTTTTTTAGATTTATGTTATCCAGGTTTTCACATGTTGTTGTTTTGTAATTTGGTGTAAATTTCATAGAGGCAAAGTGCAATTTTAGCTACATTAAAGAAAATTATTATTATTGTTATTATTATATTATTATTATTATTGTTGTTATTATTATCATTATTCTGTAAAATTAAAATAATTCTGTCGGAACATAGAAAACCATCTGAAAGAACCAGAAGAGATCTTGAATCTGCTACAGGCTCCAGAACTACGAGAACTTGCAAAGAGTTTTAAGGTGCCGCAGAGAAAAAATCTGGTCCAAGCATTGCTTATTCATGGCAGGAAGCAGATGTCTGTGTTAGGAAGAGGCTTAATGACAGAAATAAGTAAAAGGTATAGAGTAACAGGTGAATTTTGAATGCATACTATAAGGTGAATCCAAAAGCATATCGAGAAAATATATCCTCAAAAGGATGAAGGTTGCATTCTTTTCTATAGTTGTACTATGACCAGATGCATAACTCTCATATTACAGTACTTACTGGTATCAAGATGTTGGATGTACTTTTGAAATAAAAAATATTAATTTGATATTTTCAAAATTTGTTGGGGGTGTATAATCAATTTACATGATACTGTAGATTATACCCATGGGATGCTCCAATTAAAGACCAGTTTTCTGTGGTCCCATATTAACATCTTTTAATCTTTATTATTATAATTAGAGACCAAACCTGCAAACCATAAAAACTCTGGTTCCAAAAGTGGTCTTTAATTGAAGGGAGACCTGCATTTTTAATTTATACACATTATTCTTTACTTCGTTTTAGCGCAAAGAGAATATTAGCAAAATGCATCAAGTTGAATCCAGAACCTAAGGTTGTGATGTCAAGGTTGATGCTTCTCTTTAGCATAACAAGCGATCATGAAGAAGAGGACAGATCATCCAATAGACAAACTGCTATGTAAGTTACAAAGAAGCTATAAATAAATACTATTATAGATTTATGTTTTTTATAATCCTCATCGATATTTCTTCAGGGAGGTTAGATACTGTATTCTAACCAGCAAGTTTTGAAATCACATGGAACCTAAAGCTTTATGACAGCTTTCGCACTGTTACAGTAATAATAATGTCAGGCTTTGTTTTTGGTCTATATTATCTCATCTCTTATTATTATCTTATCTCACTATTAGTGTACATGCTATCTGTCTAATAAGGTAATTAAGACATATAATAATAATAATATGTCGCTCTTACCTTTGGGACATCAAAATTTAAGGTGGCCTCATTGTTCGGTCTCCACAGAAGGTTAGCTTAGTGTTGATAGTCTTTGAAAAAATGGTCTCCAATTAGAGGGGTCTTTATTTGAAGGATGCTCTGTCGGTATACACCCCTTTTATCTTATTTTTTTTTAATCGTGTGTGGTTTGTTATCTGTTTGATTGAGATATAATTCTTTCCATTTGACTGCTGTGGGATGATTACATTTTCTGTACATCTACAGTGTTTACCTCAGGCTTCACTACGTTTCCAAGCAACCAAAATTATATTTGTACTTATTCTGGATTTCACTGAGTATACAAAGCAAATTCCAAAATTCTGTTCTGCTGCAACTATTTCTGTAAATTATCAGTTTCGTTTGCATATTAGATTATAATAAAACTTTATTTAACTACTACTACTACTGTTTTTCATCAGTGCCATAACAGACATAATAATCAAACTTAACTAATGTTAAACAAAGAATAAGATTGTGTATTAATATTATAAATATTATTAGATTTACCATGTTGAATGAAGCCACTTTATAGTGAGATGGTTTGTTGTTAAATGATGTTGCTGTATGACATGATATAGTAAGGTGATTCAGCAAGAAAACGATTCCACAATTTTATTTGCTGTCTGTACATTCTCCTCAAAATATAGCTGTATAAACAATAGAATAAACAATGTTAACATTTAACAAAACTTTGTTTTTTCAGGCAAACCATGCTAATGGCAGACATGGGTCGGATGAAATTTGCAAAATACAAAGTTGAACGGCCTCATAAGATATTCTTCTCACGAGATGAATTAATAAGGTGAGTAGTGTCAGTAAACATTACGTGAGTAGATTATTTCCATTATTTTGTTTGCGTTCATGCAACGTCAAAGTCGATAACTTTAATCAACTACAATTGTACATAATATCGCTGGGCGTGTTTGTAGAAAAATTAGCCTATGTAGAAATTCCGATTTTTAAAATATACTACATGGAATAGTAAAAATTACTTCAGTATAAAAGATACTTATTATAATTTAATCCCACATTATAATACCTAATACTATGGTACTAATTTTCTATTACTCGTTCTATTAATGATAATTACAAATTATTACTGATTTTCAAATCATAAACAATGGATTTTTTTTTTTGCTATTTTTAAAAGTTAAATATATTAATTAATTAATTAAATTGAATTATTCATGATAACTAATATAATGTTTTTCTTAATTATGACTTTTTTTTGGACGAACAGATATGAAACTGCCCATAAGTATGAAGCAGACATTATTGCTGCCATGGCAAAAAATGATTACGATTCTTCATTCAATATATTTGAGAAAGCTCAGGATGAACATAAATCCATCAAGAACACAAAAATTATCAGGTAATTAATAATTTATTTAAGTGTTCATATTTTAATTTTATATGTTTATTTAGTGCATTCCTAAATCTAGTTGCAACCTCTGCGGTTGTTAAATCCATCATTCCTGATGATGACATAATTAATGTCAAAATATTGGATCCCAACATGATGGCATGCATTTGGAGTATGTAATATACGTTCTTATCTGAGATTAATAAGTGGACATTTCGGTTGTTGAATCCATATTGGCAAACATGCATAACATATACTCCATAGTGTTAAAAGATATATTTCCCCTCGTTTCACGGAAAAGTGTCCCCTTAATAGGGGTGTCCCCTGAATGGGTGTGTCCCAAAGGAGGGGTTCTACTGTATTATCATCATCATTCACCGCTTTTCAATATATTCATGTTCTCCACATAATAAGCTCTAAAATGATGGGTCATTTACTGGAATTGATTTACTATTGCCAAAGTTATGAGTAAAAGTATTATGGCTTTCTCTGTACTAAAGTATACAATACTGCCATATTCTTATGTTAATTACTAAGTTTAGCAATTAGTGACAGTACGCTGGTTTTGGGATGGCAAGCTTAATTCATATGAGGCATGTTGTGGCAAAATGGTTAAGTTGTCGCACAGTCCAGTAAATGAGCTATAAAATATGGGAGCTCAAAAAATTGCCTAAAAATCCAAATTTGTTTTTCACTTTATAGATCAACTTTTTAATGTCTTATTAATCATGTCCCAAAGTATTAGTTCTGGAAGTGGTTAACAAATTGTTTATTTAACATTATTTTTCATAGTTCATTCTATTAAACAATGTACAGTATGCACAAATAACTTTTTTAAGGCAATTACTTAAAATCATGTTTATCTTGACTCTACGAGTATGGTACTGTACTTTCACATTCCAATAACTTAGGCTTGAAATGTCCAATTTGAATGAATGACCCCTCATTTTAAATATCACATACTCAGGTATCTGAAAATACCAATAACTTGAATTTCAATTTTTGCTACAACTTAGCCATTTTGCCACAACATGCCTCGTATATTCATTACCTGACTCACAGTTGATCCAAACGTAAAGTACTAATAGATGAGAGGCCTAGAAGTATTCAAGAGTATTTCCACCAAAATGACTGAACACATAACCATGGAAGCATTGGCTTGAACAGTGTCATATACAGGCAGTATTGAGTATGTCACTGGGGAGCTTTAAATCAGGGAGTCTCCTGGAAATCAGGACAGCCTGCCAGAAATTAACCCATCTCATGAAATTTATAATTTTGCATGTTTATACTGCTTTATTATCAATTGTTTTGCAGAAGTCAGTGCCGATGTGTATCACGTTGTGCAGCAAAATAAATTTAGATGTGTTAAGAAAGCTCATTAACCAGATCAGTGGCAGATTCAAGGGGGGAAGCCAGCTTGGACCCCTAAATATATCAGTATTATAAGAAAATGGGCTAAAAAAAAATTTCTGAGAGGGCCATTTTGAGGTACCATAATTATAAATTTTCCTACTTCAGGCTCCAACCATAGTGGGGCTGATATATTCTGGACTTATCGTCTGTGAAATCCCCTCCCTGCCCATCTTACCCCAAACATTTGACCCGCCACTGCAAATCTCCCGGACCTGCTTTAAATTGAGAACGTAGAAGGAGAACGTAAAAAACGAATTCACTTATCCATGACTGTCATCTGTGCATTCTACGTTTAACTGTAAATCGCTTTTCAATGTTTTACAACACGTACTCGCAGATGTCATGAATGCACATACGTAGATTTGGCCGACAACCGTTTTCAGGAGAGAACGTAATGCACAACGTTCAAACATGCACATTTAAATTAGCAACGTCATCGTCGCAAATGAAAATCTCACTGTTGTGGAATGATGTGAATTTAACAGTACCATCTACTTTAGGGCACCATATTATACTATGTCAAACATATATTTTTTAGACCAAATGTATGAGAGTCAGTACTTTTTGAACTCTACCATTGTTAGATATTTTAACTATCCTCTCTGTTTTCTCCAGGTATGATAAATCACTACCAACATTTTTGCGACGGTACACAGCATTATGGGTGTACACTCGTATCACGTATCTAGGTGTTGAAATTTTGCAAAAGAAAAGTTGCTATGACGATGCAGTGACATTACTCAGACAGCTCCTAAACCAAACTGTTTATCGGCATGAGAAAAGGGGTCAATGGTGGGATCGTCTGGCACTGAATCTGGATTACCATCTTAAGAAACCAAAAGAGGTAAGATCACAACATATATGAATTTAAAAAGTATAGATTTACATGTACTTAAAGCCCCATTCCCAGCAAAATTTCACTAAAAAAAGAATTTTTATTAGAAAAAATGCATATGCATTACTCTAAATATCATGCACCATGAAAAAATACAGCCATCAATTTAGTTTTACGAAAAAGGATAAAAAAATTAGAAATACAGACTATTTCTCATAGGAGATTACCAATTTTTGACAACTTCTTTGTTACTAGGAAAAAATCAGAGGTTGTGGATTTCATCCGTCCTCTCTAATAAGATTAGTTTTTGTACTTCACATCTCGCACACTGTGGTCGATCGAGTAGGCCTGAGATATGTTTGTTTAATTGTCGAAATCTCAGTCAGAATCATTTATTTTAACAAATTTGAAATAATTCCAATGAAATACTATATTTCACAAGTTTCAGATACTAGCAACGGAAAATATAATGTCAGTTGTTTTTATATCTAAAAACAGAACCTTAATCAAGGTACAGTAAGGCTAGGCCTAGCCTAGCAGAGTTGGATAAGCTGATGTTTCCTACCCTACTATATTTATTCGCAGACATATCGCAAAATCAAACATAAGAAATTCATCCCCTTTATCTTGTTTTACATTTTTTTTCATGTTTAGGAATGTCTAAATTCAGATAAACTAGCAATTTTGTACATATATAAAAATCAGATTTTTCTTAACAACTGAAATTTTGGCGGGAATGGGACTTTAACATTGCAAAAAACATATTGAATGAAGCATTTATCTCCATATTACCTTTTTTCAAGGCTTTAGATGCTATCAAACAAGGCCTAGCAGATAAAAAGGTTAAACTGGCTGACCGCCTAGCCTTACAACAACGAGCTGAAAAGATATGTGGGTCTTCTGCTGGCAATCCGCTAAGGAAAGAACTTAATTCATTACGTCTAATACAGTATCCAGAGGCTCCTAAGGTATGAATGTTTTGAAGAGTATGCAGTAGACCTTATTGGATCAAGCTGTTAATCATAATGATCTATATTTTGCCATTAAACTCTGCCCAGACATCAAATTTTTTTGGAAAAAAATATGCGACATGCCTATTGTCATGATGACATCACATCATAACCATATATAGGCACATCATGACTATATATGGGCATACAGCAGTTTGATAGCGTGGACTGGACTGGATGTTGTAATATAAAGTGCATCATCTTCTGTAAGATGAAGAACTTGAGCTGGTGCATTCTTACACAAGAGTGCAGTATTTGTGTTGTGACTATGGCCTTCACACCAGCACTGGTTCGAGTTCCCTCCTTACCAAAGGTTTGGTTGGTAAACCAAAGTCTTCTTAGATAAGGGCTTAAAACGTGAATCTTTCACAATAGTAAGGGACCCAGAAGCTTTGGCTCATTCAACCCTTTTTGTTGTGGAATGACATGATACAAAGCTAATAAGCACCTTGATATAGCTGCTGCAGTAGTCATGTGCCATGCCCATATGCTATGCTGTGAGTTATAGGTTATTTTCCAATTTTTGCCTTTACCTTTTTAATTTGCTGTGCATTGCTTTCTTAAGAAGGAGAAAGTTATGGCTTTATGGTATATGATTGATATATCCTTTCAGGTGGAGATCATGGGGCGGATACTCCCTCATGCTCAAGAAGGCAGGAATAATGTCTTTGTGCGAAGTGTAACAAGTGCTAATGGAGACATTAGTGATGTGGTGTGCGGAGTGGAACAGGTTGCCCTGGCTCACTACAGAGAATGTGGTTACAATGAAGGTAAGTCAAAGCATGGAGGAATTATTTTAAAGGTAGTTAAATGTCATTATCAAGAGACTGCTTCCAATGAGAAAGCAGCCATATAGAGGGTGTAGCCAATAAGAGGGTTCGAATAACAAAGTCAGCCAATGACCAGTGATAAAAAATATATATATCGAATGTCTTGCATACAGTAGCAACGCATCCGCTAACAGTGGGTGCTCATAGCCAATTACCCCTGTGAGTGTGTTTTCATGTACAACCTCTTGTGTTTGAGCAGTAATTTGTTGGCTAATGATTGAAAGTGAAGAGTTTTGGCCAATGTTAAAACTTTATTACATTTAAAGAAATATGGAGCTTTCTTTAACTGTTCCTGTGTGATGATTTATTTTGGACGTTGTCTTTTAGGTATACATGCTGAAGGATCTTCCATGTGTACGTTAATCTTTATTCTGTTTTGGGACATTGTGTTTACAGAAGGTGTGCCTGATGTTTTCAGGAATCAATTCCAGGTACAATAATTCATTCATTTTAGAATCTAAACATAATTTTTTATTGTAAGAACTAAGTTTTAAAACACTAATACCCTACTCTTGCTTCATTCAATTTTGTAGGCTGCACCATTAGATTTACGGACACTAGATTTCTACTTGAATCGTCAAGAGTTAATAGAGGCACGCCTGGAGCAAATCAAGCAAACAGATTCTGAAACGCTTGGCAACATGCTGCAGGATAAATGGGATACAGTTTACGGTGAATTCTGTGCTGGAGTTAATTGGCAAACATTTAGAGATTTAGATAATGCTAAGGTAACACAGTCTTTCTGAAGAATACATGCAGTAACCTAAAAAATTCTGAAGAATTACCATTGCTATTATTATACTATTGTTATATTTTTATTAATATTTATCTGATTTTACATTACTTTATAATAGAGTTTACTGGTATGTTTAGATCATGCTAAGGTAACACAATCTTTCTGAAGAATAAATTACGATTGTTGTTATAATATTGTTATATTTGGTATTATTAGTTTATTTTTTATTATTAATATAAATATGATTTTACCTTATTCTATATAGAGTTTGCTGTTATGTTTTGGAGGTGAGTTTTTAAGCACAGTTGCAAAGCGAGTGCTCAAAGACCATGAACATTTCAGAGCAGGCATGCCTGACTTAACAGTGTGGAATACAAGTGACAATACATTCAAGGTACGAAACTGCATTTTTATATTTTTATAATTTTGTTTTATAATTGTTTCAATGTGTATGTAGCAGTATGATTTATAAATGACCTTGGAAACTATGGAACAAAAATGTGAAGAATGTTATACAAGCCATTCTTTGGAGTTGGCTTCATGTGTCAAACCTTTGGTTTATGGACCCCATGATAAATGATCTTTCTTCCTATATTATCAGACAAATCTTTGGTTGTAAATAGTCAGATGGAACAAATAGGTTAGACGCTAGTTTTGCTGATCTGCACCGTTTTCAGCAGTAAATTCAATGCAGAGATCTGATCAATACATTCAACATTGACCAAGGGTCCTATTGTGTGAAGAAGTCACTACCAGGTGATCTGTTGAAATGAGCCTTTTTAACACATTTAATCGCATTTTGCTATGCATGGTTATACCAATCAATAGTGAATTCTGTGAGACAATTGATCATACAGTAGAGTAAAGATATGCAAATATTATGAGTTTGTGGGAGATAGGTTAATTTCCGGGTGATTCTTACTGTCGTCCCAATTTCCAGTTGACTCCTTCAACTTGGGTTGAGGGTGGTGATGGGGAGGACTTGGGACCCTTGTGTTCATATCCTGATACTACCAGGTACTTCTGGATGAAGAAAGCCATATGTAGATAAAGTGCCATGATCTACCTCAGACCCGAATCTCACAATCCTTCATTTAAAACCCAAAGCATGTTTTTTGCGTTGTCTTTTAAGAAGTTTCATTTGTTTTATATGTTATGTCCCTCATTCATAAATTTTTGCATGACATATTAATAACGTGGACAAAGGTCATGATTGTGGTGTTCCTCTTGCAGCTTGTGGAGGTGAAGGGACCAGGGGACCGTCTCTCTCAGAAGCAGGTTATTTGGCTGGACTTCTTCCTAAAACATGGTGTCCAAGCAGAGGTATGTCATGTAAAAGGTAGGTTAATATTTTAATGCAAATAACTGCTTGTTGCTGATTATGAAATTTAGGAATGAATTTGATACATACTTCAGTTGTGTAGTAATACTTTATATACTTGAGCAGTCAGATAAAATTATTTCATTGTATAATATTATTAAACATTAATTTTTATATTTATATTATTATTTCAGCTTACACTCTGAAGAAACAAAGGATAAAAGCGATGACAAGGAATAATAATAATAATTAATAATAAAAAATATTGATCAAAATTGATCAAAGGCATTACATGAGGAAATAAGGCAAGTTAATATTCCTGTGATAAATAAGTTTTTGATAAATACGAATGATGTGGATGTAAACCATTCATCGACCTCTGTATTTAAGTATAATTAAATGAATGACAAATTGATTTTCTGTGGAAACTGTTATAGAAACAGATTACTGATATTTAGAAATTTATCATCTATAAAATAATATATATAATGTATATATAATATATACAGCTAATTAAAATAGTTGTTCATTTCTACAGCATAGCACCTTCGATAATAAACATCCCAAGGCACTGTTACTTAATACTATTATATAATTTATTATACATTAGAGAGGATTCGCATGCGAACGAATACGTGTAGGCATATGTTTAGCTACCCGTAACAGTTTGTAGCCATTCTGTATTTTTGGCAATCACAGCACAAATCAAGCGTAGGCCTAGCTTATTAGGTCCCTAGCTTAGGGCCTAGCTAGGTCTAGGCCTATACTCCGTTTTTCTTCTCTCATCATACTTCTCAAAGCCCAGAAGAGTTGGTTATTTGTGATAGGCCCTTGTTTATGACACAAGTTGCTACCAAGCTAGGCCTACACAAAAATCCCGACACCACCAAGGTCCTAGCACCGACTTTTTGATACCCCAGAATGAGACACATCCTATCGTAATTTGCTGTCTTCAAATGTCACAAATGTATTCAAAGATACATTTATTTTTTACACTTACTGTAAAATGTGAAAAAAAAGTCTAAAATTTTGCTACGCGTTTTTCACTTACGTGTAGTGAGCGAGATATGCATGACTTCCACACGTTTAGCGGATAGCAACCGGCGTATGACCTCATAATTGATAATGTATCCGTCACGCTAACCGTATTCATTCAAGTGCGAAACCACATTATTTAGAATATATTGACCAGTAATCAGATTATACCAAATATAACGTCAAGCTGTACTGTACATTCCTGTATTATGAAATTTTTTTTTTTAAATCTTGTAAATTTTGTATCATTTAATGACCTTTATAATGGCTGATGGACATTTACAAATAGTTGAGACGGGCACTCGCATTCTATAGAGAACACAACGCCATGATTTTCAATGACGATCCGTCAGACTGCCATTGACAGTCAGCAGCGTGTCGTCTAGTGCTTACAGGGAGGGGATTGGATTGGTCATACGACGTTGGTGCGGTCGTTGTATGGTGCAATGAGAGCCCGGCTTTAAAGGCAGGCATTTTCCAAAGGTTCGCATCTAGTCTTCCATAGACACCTTCTTTGTCCACTCTGTTTTTAAGTATAATTATACAGATGACAAATTTCTTTTCCGTGGAAAATGTTATAATAAACAGAGTACTATCAGTATTTAGAAATTTATAATGTGTACAATAATATATATAATGTATAATATAATATATACAGCTAATTGAAACAGTTGTTCATTGCTACACCATAGCACCTTCCATAATAGGCATCTCAAGGTACTGTTAATTATTTATATAATTTATTATTCATGTAAAATATATTGACCAGTAATCAAATTACTAAATATTTCTTCAAGTTTTACTGTATATCCCAGTATTATGAAATATTTTAAAAATAAATCGATGATTTGTAAATTTTGTATCGTTTAAATGACCTTTATAATAATATGGCTGATACACTTTTAGAAATAGTTAAAGGCAGGCGTTTTCCAACGGTTCCCATTCAGTCGTCCGTTCACATAGACGTTTTCCTCATCTGCAGCCTTTTCTTGTTTTCCAACTTCCTTCTCAACACCATCATCCTAAAAAGAAATATACTGTATGTTATGGATAATTTAATTTGAATTTGCGTAGTTTGTGAATATGTATTTGGATAAACTGACTTTTGGCAATATTTCCTTCAACAAGACCTTTTCTTTGAAATACCAGAACATCCCTTAATAATTTCCTTGTGCCCAAAACCTCACTATTAACATTACTCCCATTGGCTTACCAACATTATTTTATAAAATCTATGCATAACTTAATAGCTCCAAAATTATTTCTAGTTAAAACTTTCAACAATAGTTAAAGGCAGGCGTTTTCCAAAGATTCACATCTAGTTTTCCGTTCACTACTGTGTCCACTCTGTTTTTAAGTTTCTAGTTTACGCAAATTATTTGTAGTTAACGATTAGCCGAGATGAGTTAAAAGATGCTAAATTACACCCGATTAAGTGTGCACTTCATACAGTAAAATACCTTCCTTACAGCACCGTCTGGTGAAATCGTGTTGCCATAACTTTTATTCTTCAAATGTAACTGTCTATTATCTCTCATTCTGTCAGGCTTCCTAATGACATTATTAAAAGTGACATTTTCATATTCCAAGTTGTCCTCCTGCATTACAGTGCTACTTCTAGAATCAACCTATATAAAAAAAGAGATTATTACTTTTTCATTTCATACATTCATTCATTCATGGTTTTTTCATTCAAAATTCAAGCAAAAATTTGAGTGTAGAAATATAAACAATTTGAAAGACAATAAACATTGTATTGCATAAGATATTTAAATACTGACAAATAATAAATTGTAGGAATTCTCCCTAAATTGCTAATTATTTACAAACAAGCAATACGATTGATATTAAAAATTTATAAAAAATATTGGCAGAAACCAGATTAAAAAAAAACAACTCACAAACGACCACAAGAGATGCAAAAAAGGACAAAAGTCACAAAAGTGCATCATTGTACAAAAAGTACATAAAAAGATTCTTATGTTTGCTTTTATATAATCAATGATCTAAGGTAGTAGTGTAATATTAACGATGTCAGCGTACCTTAAGGACCAAACCCCTAGTCGAAAAAGTGCGACACATTTCTTCGTGCCGAAAAAAATTAATGTCCTGCAAAGAATTGAACTATATGCCTAAAAACCTAAAAGAGTCCACAAACTGAAAATCGAGTGCTGTTTTTTTTTTTTAAATTGGGACTTGACTTACCATCAAAATTATAGGTCCCACCTACATATTGAAATTTACCTGTATGCCGTCATCATCATCGTCATCATCTGGAAGTGCGTAACCATTACTGTCCTGTCTGAAAACGTCTTCCCTCTGGAAGTATATTTCGTTGGGCACACGGTTTTTGCTGACGTCATCTTCTGTAGTTATGTAACCTTTATTGTCCTGTTTGTAAATATCCTGTTTTTCCAAATATGTATCATTGGGCTCATGTATTTTCAGTTCATGCTTTTCGTTGACGCCTTTGAAAGATGTTAAATCATCATCACCTTCCGGAATCGTGTAGCCCATACTGTCCTGTCTGTAAACCTCCTCTTTCTCAAAATATATATCGCTGGGTTCACGACTTTTGCTGACATCATGTGAAGATTTGTCGTCATCATCTATTACTGTGTAGCCCTCACTGTCCTGTTGATACACTTTTTCATCCCCGAAGTATATATCGTGTGGATCATCTTTTTTTGATATGCGTTTTTTACTAGAGTCACTATTTCCTTGATTTCCATCTTGTATTTGGTTATGTAAAGCACTCTGTGATAGATGAAAATGGTATACAACATTCATGATTATATTCTGTGTTAGTATTAACATTTTAGAAAATACACTAAATGAAAAAAGAAAACTGTAAATGACTGTCAACACACTGACTGATAATTAACGTTATTTCTACTATTGCTATTATTATACTCAATATAATACATACTAGTATACGAGTATCGAAATGTACGCCACCGTGTCGGGATTCAATATTTCGACATTAATTAAGTCATCATCAGGAATCAATTATATCAATCATTATAATACTATTATTATAGAGTAGTTTGAAATATGGTAGTCAATTAAAACACGCGGCCACACACAAGACAAGTCAATATGTATTTGTATCACTATTTCCATCATGCCATCTGATGGACCTGGCATAGCACAATGATTGTACTAGAACCTGTGTCCAGCTCTGACTGAAACAATATCTTGCAAGTGTGTGTGGACACGATAAGAAGAGAAAGAAGACTTAAAACACAGTATTGTACAATACTGAATGCTACGTACCAATCTTTGAGTAGATCTAATGCTCTCTGTCTTTTGAGCATCATCATCTTCACCTTCTGGTAGTGTGTAACCTTGACTGTCTTGTCGAAAAAAATCATCATTCTCAAAAATTACATCATTGTCATCACGTTTCTTCACTTTGTCCAAAATAAAGACGTCATACTTAGGACCAAGACCTTTAAGTCTTTCTTGTGTTTGTGATTTCTTCTTTTCTGGGCCCGATATCTTTTCAGAAACAAACAACAAATCGTTCACTCACTCATCAACTGTTAGAGTACACACTGTGTTTTTATCAGGGAACAGAGAAGGGTTTTTATCTTTTATAACTCTTTGTCAAATCGCCCTCCACAAGGAACGTAGGCTAAACATAATAATATGTTGACCAGGAATCCACACGTTCATGCTCAATATGAACATATTTATTATTGTTATTAATTTTGTTTCAAGTTATAAACATTCAAATAAAATTGAATACCATTCTAGGTCGCCATATAGGCCTAGTGCTTCTTTGGCAGTATATATTGGCGCCTTAAGGATGGTTCTTGCCATCTGGTATCGAAGGTTTTCAATTTTGTTGATTAAAGATCATGCTCCACTAAGCCAGATGGTGCAACCATTATTGATGGTGGGTAGGCTGACTAAATACTAAACAATACCAGAATCACAATAAGAACTCTTTTAAAAGTGCTGTACGAATTAAGTTAAATAGAATAACATTAGTGGATAAGATCATTATTTCTAGCTCGTTCCATTATTTTGTACCTTTGTGATGTCATCGTCATCCTCCTCTGGCAGAGTGTAGCCTTCGTCGTCTTGATGCAGGACTGTCCCGTAGCCAAAAGTTATGTCCTCCTTTTTTACTTGTACATCTCGTCTAGGATTCTTGTTTTTTGCTTTTACATTTTCATACATCCGTTCGTCTGTTTGAGGTTCTTCCTGTGATGATCGTATCTCATTCTGTATTAATGGCAAAGTCGAAAATATATACCGGTAGTATAGGCCTGTGCATTTTATACAATTTTATTCAACTTATGATATCCATTACAACAAAGATAATAAAAAATGTAGATATTAACAATCATGAGGATGAGAATGGCACTAATATCGCCCCCTATATCATATTTTTCGCTTTAACAAAAAAAAATATATGCATTTGAAAATGTTTAAGGTTTTACTTGAAGTAATGTACAAATCATCTAGCAGTTTTCAGATCAAACAGCCCGTGATAGTTTTACCTTATTAGCCACCTTTCCCTCAGTGACTTCCTTGTCAATAGGTGCCACATATCCTTCGCTATCTTCTCTAATGTAGTTCTTTTGCTCATCAAATCTTATAAAGACGTCATACTTAGTATCTTTCAATGAGCTTATTTTCCTCTCCCTACTTTGTTGAGCATTTTCTTCATTCTGTAATAATCGTTAGAAACTCTAGTGTTAGGTAGGCCTAGGCCTATATTAAACGCATCCAATAATATGCCCATGCCTAAACGCACTGATTTATCCTGCTTTACCTTGGTCCTGATCTGGTTGGTCAGTAAGTTGTTAAATGTGATTGACACTACTCCAGAAAGGTCCATATACTTTCCCCACGTGGTGACCATTTTTTTAGTAAGTATTTTATGCAATTCTCTCACCCTCAGTTTTCTCAAATTACCTTGTTTTCAATATCATCCATTGGTACCATATGCCCGTCATTACCCTGTCTCTCAACTTTCCCATCGTCAAGTATAATGTCGTTACTGATGCCGTCAGTCTTCGATTTGGAAAGGAGTCCTTTGAAAACTACGTTTTCGTGTGTTGGAATCTCAGCCTACAATTAAATGTACAAGAAAGGAACTGCGAATTAAAATAAAACCACCATAATATAATATAATAAAAATATAATCTAGAACGTTATTTTTCTCCCCGACGGAAATCTGTGCCTAACGAAGGCCCTGTTCCCCGCTCCCTCCCCACCTATGAAGATGCCAATCAGATAGGCAGAAATAGAAACATCTCTAGATATATTGTGCTTAGCATTATAGACACCATGGCTCAGGGTCTTGTTTTGTAGCTCCATGGGCATAGGATATATGTAAGTGGTTCAGGGATGGCGCCAGTATTTGCCCGGGGTTGGATGTTCCCGCCGTGACGGTTGCCGACAAGACGAGTGGACGTGGTCCAGCGTTGCACAAAATTTCTCGAAAGTGATACAGGGAATATATTCCCCGGAAACTGACAATTTATAGGTTTCCACAGGTTTATTTAAACGATTTTTAGAGTATACTAATATGTAAAAAATATGTAGGTATAATTTTTTCTTCTCTATCCGACGAAGTGTGCTTTATAACTACTCCCCGGCGAAATTGGAGGACTCTCCGGAGGGCCCCCACTGGCGCCGCCCCTGAAATGATTGTGCTCGCCAGAGAAACCCCACAGTTTCATGTTAATGTTACATTTTGAAAACGATATTGATTTACCTGTTGTGTTTCATATGATATCGGGTTATCATCCCTTGAGTCATATGAATCACTATGGACCATCTCATGATCGGCGTCACCCGAGAGTGTGTTCACTGACGATTTGAGGTCGATAACAGTCTCATTAGGCTGGATTGTCTTCAAATGAACACAAACAATTTGTAAAATAAAATTATATATATATATATATATATATATATAATTTATTTATTTTACTTTATGTTTAAAAAGTAAGTTATTATAGTTTCCAATCAAAAACCATTCCTGTCCAATTAACAGACGTACGGTATACGACAAAATGCCATTCATAATTCTTTAAATTGACTGGCAGAGAAGGATTTTAATTAAGATGAAGACAGAAAGTTATTGCATCATTAAATCCTGCCAACAACAGTGCTCCGAGGACGTTTTACGGATTCTTCCATAGATGATTATGTACTCGTTCCTGCCTCGGTGACGAATCAGTTTGGTGGGGGCATAAAAAAGAACAATTTTACCACCGCGAAATTCGTCTTACATTTAACGCATTAACTCCCAAGTTACTCTCTTAAAATTACAACAGAGGAACTTCATGTTTTGGGAAGAGCAGCATGTCGGCATTTTTTGTCTATGAGTACTTGATTATTTATGTAGAGCAGCTGCTGTTCCTATAAACACTGAAAAAATCAATGATCGCATAAACAAAATAACAATGGAAGAAAATGGCTCTAAGAGAATATTTACATGCATTTTTAAAATGGTGAAGAATAAAGTAATCATATAAGATCACTTACGTCATCAAATATCGGCAAGTAGTCGGAAGCGCTTTCAGCTCCGATGAGTTTATCAAACTCTGCAATCAGTTTTGTAAAGGTTGGTCTTTTGCGAGGATTCGCATCCCAACATTTCATCATAATCGAATAACTGTTAATGGTAATCAGCGATAAAAATAATAATATTCTAGTGGATTTTATGATGATAATAGGCCCTAATAATGATCATGATCATTTTAGCTTATTTAATAATTTACTATTGTTAATTAATACGGTATGTATTATTCATATATCCCCATCAGAATTCCAATACAAGTTTCCGATTGATAACTTGAACTCTATGATGAAAGATTGTTTAATGGTTCCAAGAACGAATAATATTCCATTACCAAAACTTTTAATATTCAGATCCATTGTCATACGTCATATGTTTTCCAAAATAACGCATTCCACTATACCGAGCCATTGCGGATATTTCGAAATTATTTATGACACGTAATAATTTTTTTTTATATAAAATGATAAATGAACATAAAAAATGATGAAAGTGTCTTACACGGCATCCGGACAATGCTCGGGCTGGCTCATCCTCTTCCCCGACTCCAGCATTTCCACTAGTGCTGACAGTGACGGAATTAACGCATAAGGAGGATCACAAAATGTGAAGATTTCAAACAGAACTACACCAAACGACCACCTATAAAAAATATACATTGATTAAAAATATTTTTACAATCGAGGCACACATTATTGTTTTGATTGCATTAAAAGTTTCTTTAAAACTGAATATAATAGATTATTAAACTTAATACAAAATCTCATTGCAGCCCGTAGCCCTGGTCCCGTGGGAAGCTGACGCAGAAAAGACCTCCCTCCACATTCGAAGCGAGCATATAACAATTCGCATGCTACAAAAGACTGCTGTGACTGGCATTAATGGGATGAACCAAACCTGAGACCCCTGAATCGCTAAACATTAAAATAAATCTGGTGGAATCTACTTACACATCACCCTTGATTGTGAGTTTGCGCTCTCCAGTCATCGATTCCAGACTGTACCATTTCCAGGGTAACTTTGCATCTTTCCCGAGTCTAATATAGTTACTAGCGTACACGTCTCGAGACAGTCCAAAGTCGGTTATTTTTACTACCAAATCCTCGTCAACTAGCACATTTCGAGCTGCAAGGTCACCATGGACACACCTTTGAGACGCGATGTATTCCTGAATAGTATCAGAAAGATTCATTATAAGTTCTAAATACAATATTAAATACAAACTTAATAATTATTATTTATTATAGATTATTGTCCTGATGATGATTGAAGCAACTAAATCGAAACGTCGAGATATTCTCAACAACAATAGTTCTTTTTCAGAAATTTACCTATACGTGGTGTGTCCCGCAAGTATTTAATAAATGATTACTGTATTTCGCCATGCAAACCTTAAAACTACATTTTAATCATTTAGAGATAATTATTTAAGAGTCATTTGATCAACGTAGGTCACATGATTGCATTACCAATGTTACCTTTTCAATATTAAGTAAATGCAAAAAAAGAAGATAAAATACAATGCAACTACGTACAGATGACGTCATATAGCTGTTCAGGCCATGCAGCATCCCAAAATTAGTTACCATCACTAAGTTCATAATTATGCTGTCAACATTGAATCATTGGGCCTATAAGCCTCCATCACCATATAACGTTTGTTGAAATCCTAAATCTGGTAACATGTCTCAAACCCAACCAAATCTTTTATGTTTTTAAATTAGAGATTTAAAACATTCATTGTAAGATGACTTTATACCTTAAAAATTCCAAATATTTGTTACGTACCATTCCTCGTGCGATCTGTTTTGCTATATTCAACTGGTCTATATTCTGAATATCATAGATCCTTTCTTTCGGTGCTTTCTATAAAAGGACGTATGCTAATGTCAATATGTAGCTTAATCAAATCTATTACCAACTACAACTGTCTAGAAAACCAAAATTGTTCAACGTCTCCAAATTAAAAGGATCGATTAGAGGAAATAAAAAATTGATACTAAGAAATTAAAAAAAAAAATGAGTAGGCCTAGTAAAGTTTGTATTTAGTCAACGTGAAGAGAAATACAGTCGTGGCCTTACTGACAAACTGAAATTGGAATTAATACTAACGAAAAACATTGAATGACAAATTGACAATTAATAGAATATTACAAACGAGTAAACCACTATAAGACAACTAGAATATATATGCATCATCATTTTTCATTGAGTCATATCAAATTAAAATGTTTGATATACCAACCTTATTCTTGATTTTCTGCATAAATGAAAACATGTCGCCGTAACGTACGAACTCGTTTATCATCATGAGTGGCGTACTGGTGGTACAGCATCCTAGGAAACGGACCAGATTAGGATGATCCCCAAGCTTAATCACTAGGCTAATCTCATGTATAAAATCCTCAATCTCGGTGGAAGTTGCAAACTCTGTGGGGACACAAGTTAATGTAGAATTACTATTGTATGCAGTATGCCGGAATATCAATCATATACTTGTTCATATTGTTTACACATATTTACACATAGGCCTATTGTCATCATTATTATTATTATCAAAATCTTCTGCAGACACAAATTCGCCACTTACAAAATGGTACACAAGACAGGAAACAGAAAACACAAACAAACCACTTACCAAATCACATCCAAGATGTGTTAATATAATCATTATTAATAACTATTTAATAATTTAATATAATATTATTTATGTAAAATAATTATTATTCGATGTTCATGATGGGATTAAACTATTATATGTATTACATACGTTTAGGTACTTTGACTGCTGCCTCTGTAGGAACTCCGTTGATAAGAGCACTGCACTTGTAAACCTCCCCATAGTACCCACGACCAAGTTCCTTCCTTTCCGTCCACGATACGTCACTTCGGGCGATTTCGTAAGCTGGGTAGGCGATCAGGGTCGGTCGACGTTTTTCATGGTTAGGAATAATTACATCTTGAAAATGACAATAGAACGTAATATCATTACCAGCAGCAGATATTTGTGATCTTATGTAGTAATGAAATTGTATTAATTTGTGTCATTAATATCATTCGCTGCGATAATTCTGTCTGTCAGGTAGGGTTACGTTTATTTGAACTTGTACAAAATAAAATAAATCAAGAACTATACATTTTAGAGGGAGATGCCGACAATCCTAAAGCTTTGTCCACACTATCAAATTGTCATTGTACACCCAAATATGGGCATATCACATTTTTTTGTCACATGGGATGTGTTAGAGTGGACAGAGCTTAATGAACTTAAGGTCGGTTGCCATAGAATCGCTGACCCCCTCGGCAAACCTGGTTCAACTTTGCCGATTGTGTTTTTTAGTCGAATCAGGGTGTCTTCCCGGTTGCGTCGGGGAAGCTAGCAATGCACCCTGATTCGTCTCCAAAGCAATTGGGAAGGTTGAACCAGGTTCAATCTTCCTGACAACTGTCGGCCACTATAACCCATAGGGTGAGCGATACTATGACAACTGAGCTTTAGTGGATGGTATTGATTATGGTACTTTTTAAGTTTTTGTATTTTAACGTTTTTAAAAATGTGATGATTGTTTAATGTACCGTTGTATTGTATCGCATTATATATTTTATTATAAATTTATTTCAATATATTTTAATGTGTAGGCCTAATAGATTTTAAGGTTTTTCGAGCAAAATAATTTCTTTTGGAGACAATAAAGATTTTCAGATTTTTTCTTAAATTTCTGAACGATGTCATATCATATAACGTTGGAAATTATGTGTTATTTTTGACCTGAATATGAATAAATGGATGGAAAGTACCGTCAAATACTTACCTAGGTCTAAAATGTCGTCGTCTTTATCCAATCGTTCGAAACGACTTGAGTACATCTTCCAAATAAACACTAAAACGACAATAGCCAACAGAATCACACTACCAACTGCGATAAGAACTATAGTAACAGTATTCGATCCATTATCCGAAGGCTGTACGGTCACTAAATAAAGAAAGCAAACTTTATAAGAAAGAGCACACCTGGCTTCATATAATCGTACAGTAGCGTCGCAGTGCATTTAGCCCAAACTTTTCCTACGTTATACAAAATTGATTATTTATGTATATATTCAGGCAAAATGATAAATACGATATCGATAGTGTTTTAAATGTGAAAGATAAGTTAGTTTAAAATACATAGGCCTACAGATGCTTAAAGATGTGAAATAAGTAATTAGAAAATAATAACTAACTGCATAAAACAAGGTAAATAATAATAATAATATATTGAAAGCATGAAAGTGAAAACAAAAATTTAATTAATTATTATGATGTATTTTTAAAACAATTTTTTAATAAAGAAAACCTACTTTGGCATATGCACACTTTTATAAGAACACGTTTATAAGAACACTGAGGCTGAAATTACTTAAAAATATGAACAAAATATGAACAAACTGAGGCTGAGGCAAAATGTCAAATATGGTTTTTAATTTTTTAAATAGAAAACCTACAAATTTTAGGCCGATATGTGCAGTAGGTGTGACTAATACGCTCTATAATACTGGAAGTAATATACTGTCGAATAATAATTTTCTATTTTCTATTCATTTTGAGCCTGAATTAGGCATAAAAAACAGAGCGTGGGCAAAATTGAATTGGTTCTTACTTTTAAAAAAAAGTGTAGGCCTAATTAGAGTAGAAGTACATGTAATTCCTACCAGGTGATGTTGTAATGAAGACAATTTCACGTGATAATCCTCGTTTATTTCCCATGCTAGCCATCACAACGGTAGTAATCTAATAAAACAAAGTCAACTGCACTAATTTCTTCTCCTGGAACTAAGTAAAAACACTATAAAATTTGCCATTTATCTATTAATTAAAGTATGACGGAGAGATTGAACAACTTCCAACATGATGCGCATGCGTATACTGTACATATAATTTGGTAACCCTTGTGTTCTTATTATATATATATATATATATATATATATATATATAAACTCATACATATATATAAACTTATATATATATAAATATATATATATATTTATATATTTTCGTACCTCTAATGTGTAAGATGTATTCACTAATAACGGTTTATTCAACTCAGTTGTAACATACGCGCTTGGTTCGAATTCCACATCCTATAGAAATTTTTAAAAAGTAATATATTATTTAAAATCTACAAAAATATCATAAAAATCACAATTATAATACTGTAGTAGTAGTAGTAGTAGTAGTAGTAGTAGTAGTAGTAGTAGTAGTAGTAGTAGTAGTAGTAGTAGTAATAATATTAATAAAAATAATAATAATAATAATAATAATAATAATAATATAATGATCATCAAGAACTTTAAATTATTAATCAATCAGTTGATTTATTTATTGCATAGTTATCACACATTCACCATTTATCATAATCATCAACAAGGTTATCATTATTATAGTTACATCATCGACACCAAAATTATCCTCTTCATCATCACTTTCCTGTTTATCACCATATTATTCTCGTCACCATTATTATCATCATCCTCTTATCTAATAGCTTCTCGTTTTTTGCTTAGGCTGACGTGTCATATCTATGATTATCATCATCGTAACTTCATCATCATTATCATCACCTCTTAATTATGATTATTATCATCAGCATTTTCAACTATTTACGCAAGGTCTAGACGCTAACAAGCATTGCTTTGATAAACAATATATACCACCACGATTGTTAGCTTAATAAGTATTTACCATAATTTTAAGGTTATTCGGTGTTAATTCTTCGCCATACCACTCCAATAGAAAATAGCTAATAGGCGTGTCTGGGTTGACATGCGCTGGTTGACGCCATCGGATAGTAACCGTCACTTCTTTTTCATCATCACTAAGTGTCATATTTAGTACTTTGATTTCAATTGGTTTACCTGCATACTGCACGGCTTTAAAAACAAATGAGATGGCACGGGCTAAGTAGGGTTTCCATAAAATCGCTACCCTGTCAGTAGTTACAGCTTTTTTTTTTTTACACTGCAATCGTTGAACTGCGTAGAAGCCCCCGAAGTAACCGGGAACGCGCCCTGATTGAACTCGCTTATTATTTGCTAGTTGGTCATGAGACTACGCACTGTGTCACAATGATACCGTAATTGTTATGTTTCTATTTTACAGTAAGGAAAATGAGCGAAGATTCACAATAAACATATGAACATGTTTATATTATTGTTTTTATGGTTTTTATGAATTTCAAAGGAACTTAATATTTTCGAATAAATACCCGTCATTATTTCTATTTATCACACTTAGGCCTACAGTAAGTTGATAGTTTTAGGTAGCTTTAAAGTTGAAAAAAATATATATATTGCTTTGTTGAATATTTCACTAGGTTTAGTTTTCAATGGGAAATTAAACAGAAACAGAATTTTTTTTGCGGCAATTAATGGAAGTTTCTACCGTTTCCATAGTGTTTTGATATATTATACCCTTAGACTTCTACTAACAAATTTAAGTATTTTCGTAATAAAGGGTCTGTAAATTATTGCTAATTTTAAAATCTAAGAAATATCGTCGATATTTTGATTTTATTTCATGGACATAATACATTGTAGGCCTATGACTTTGTAAAATACATAATAATGTAATGGAGGATTTTGAATATCTCACCTTGGGTTTCACAGAATTCAATACTTTTTGTTTCGTCATAGCAATCTGTAATAAGTAACAAGCGTCCACTGAACGTTAATATATAGGCCTATACAACAAAATAAAATCACGGGGACACAACTGAAAAAAGTTACTCGTTTGAAGGGATATACGATTACGACATGATATGTTTCTATTCGAGCACTGGTATTATATTTATTTGTTATTTTGTGTTTATGGTGCTACGCCGCAAAACTATATATAGGCCTATATATACATATACCTGTATATATATATATATATATATATATATATATATATATGTATATATATATATGAAGAAGGCGTGTCCACGTGTGTTTCGAAACACATGTAGAATAATAGGCTATAACGTAATAGTAATGAAAAACAAATCCGTAAGATGTTTAGAAACACTATTATATATATGTATGTAAAATTTTTCATAGGACTTTATTCGTTGAAAAGTTACAGGGTAGCCTACGATGTTCCATC